AATATCTCAAACAATTATCAAAATAAACTTATTGAAAATTCTTCCTTATTAAGACATCATATTTGTGATCTCTGAAATCGCAAAGCTGGGTTATAAACATTTTGAGTGGGTTTCGGCGACATATGGTTGGTGCAATCGACAATTAATTATAAAAATGTCCTAAGCTGATAAATCAAAGACTATTCGACCATGCACTGCAAGACTTAAGGGGTCTGTTAGAGTCGTCGTCTAAATGCCTTTTATATAAGCATATTGTAAATAATTTTTCGATTCACTATTATTTAAGCAAGTATATTCCTATGAAGTATAGAATTTCTTTAACAAAGTTACGCTTGTCTGTCCATACTCTAGCAATCGAGACAGGATGACACAGAAATATAGCCAGAAATAATAGACTCTGCACATGTTGTGATTTAAACGACATAGAAGTTATATACCACTATATTTTGAAATGCTATGTATACAATAATTTAAGAAAACGCTTCATATAAAAATACTACTGGAAAAATCCATCGGTGTATAAACTTATACAGTTGTTGAGTGTTGAAAATACCAAGGAAGTATGTATGTTAGGTAAATTTATATACGAGGCTAATAAACTAAGATTGAATTAATTTCATAAGTTTTATTAAATCATGTCTTTCTGTACGACATATCCAGTACTGGTATTTGCCGCATTTGTAATACTATACTATTATCTGGTATTTCTATATGAAATTAATGATGTAATGTATGGGAAAAATCTATATTTGAGTTAAAAGAAGAATTTGAATTTAGCATATATAATTAATTCAATTCAACCCAATGTTTAATCTCCATTATAATAACGTTGACTTGAGTGGTATATCCATGGAAACCTCGTCGTGGGGGATCGGCCCGACCACTTGGAATCCGTGGGAAGCCACTCTGGTCGTTACTATATAATTACTACATATATACGTCGTTAATATATTATTACTAAATGTACTTCTATGTATATGTACCGGTATATATGTATGATTATATACGGCATTTACGTCGATATGTATCTGGGGGAAAAATGCATTTGAATTTACCTTATTCAATCCATTTAATATGTTGATTTGAGTGGTAACATATCCAAGGAAACTTTGTCGGTAGGGATCGGCCCAACCACTTGGAATCCCTGGGTAGCCACCCGCGTCTATTATGTATTTTCATGTAATAGATATTCATTTTATAAGTCTGTGCCTGGAATATAACATCTCCACTATTTAGATGTATTTGTTCATATATGTTGGTGTAAAGGTATAACTACCTTATCCTCCTATATATGCCATGTTATTGATAATAATTGTATTATGAATGTGAACTTACGGGCCTAAAGTAATAAAACAATTTGAACTTGAGTTTGAGTGTACGTGTGTATACTACCTCTGGTTGGTTGTTGGGCATTGGGGCGAGCTGCATTGTTCATGTTTGGCTGAAATGGCATACTCCTCGCTTCCGTCAGCACCACGGCTACCATGACGACGATTAAGGATAACAGGGTATGCATATTCACTGTGGGAGAAAGTAAAAAATATATCAGCAATGTCAGAACAGCTGTCTGTGTTGCTCTGAACTTGTTACCGTTTCCGTGGAGTGTTCCACAAAATATAGAATGCGCTGCACATCATACATATAACTTCACTTATATCCGGCGCTCCACTTACTAAAAAAAGAGCTTCCAATGTACTCATATAGAATGCTCCTCTTGATTATACTCATGACATTCCCTCACCTAACCTCATTAGATAGGATTTTTCTTGTTAAATATTCAAATATTTCAAACATCATATTTTCTCCGTTTCTCTTCATTTCAATGCAAATATTTGGTAGCCGTTACCAACATTCCTTACTACAAATTATCTCCCCTCGACCACTTTTATGGAGCGGCTTCCTGCATGTCGATTTTTCGCAGAATTGGGAATTTGCTTCAGTGTCCCCTGGCAAAGTGAATAGCGCACTAATCATTTCTTTCAGATTGATCATATTTTGAAAAAAAAAAAAAAAAAAAAAAAGAGCTTCCCGTCTAATTTCTACTGTGTATTCTGTTCACTGACATGTTATTGATTAAATCGGTAAAAGTCCAAGAATAGTCAATATTATCGTGATAGACTCCCTATTTTACATAGTATTCTGTAACATGCTACTTACCTTGTTAGTGTTATATCCCGTTTATATAACCTATGGTATGTTTTCGTCATCCTTATATACTAAGGCGGCTAACACTGGTACGGCTCCAGAACGCTTGGAAAACTGATGGACGAGGAAAACGCCGTTCAGATCTTCAAATGAGTAGAGAAATAAATAAATGAAAACGATAATAAAAAAAATCTTTTAATATTATAACATCTACAAGTTTAAAATTTAATTGAAAAAAAATTCTCACTTTTCTTGCACTTCGAACATGCTGTATGTCTTATTGACAGAGAAATGTAATATCGCATAATCATAATCTGGTTTTTGAAATATTAATAGTTACGTATACAGTATTAAAAATGGATGAACGTTTCAGAATGCTAAATAACTTACAAGATTACAGTAAAATGAGTTTAAACTGACTGCTGAATAATCTGAAATCTTGTCATATCAAACATTCATCCGTTCTTCAATGAAAACTTCTTAATATTATCTGTGAATTCTGTTAATTTTGTATATTTTTTCTCGATTGCGTATGAATTATCGATGAATTACCAGTGACAAAGCTACCACTTATGTCTGTTCTGTCTAGCAAACATTGCTTGTTGATTCCGTTAAGAAGCAAAAATTAGTCAATCCAGTTTGTTCAGTGGGATATAGTTTGTCCACTGCGTCCTGTCAATGGCAGATAATCAACTTATCGTATCGGCATACAAGGGTCAAGGGCAATAATGAGTCATATATGAGTGTATCTGTCTAATGAAAATTGACTGAAACCAACTAAAAGGGGAGATAACTGGTTTCACCTAACTCGTCCCAAACACCTATTTGTTCAGCATCCCTCCTCGTGTTTAGTACGCAGGTGTGATGTAGACTGCTCGTGACATGGGAGGTCCAGAGCTTGGGGACTTGGTTGCATATCTATAGGATGGCCTTTGGCCTGCTACGTAAACTGAAAAGTTGAAAGTGGCGCGCGAGAGATAGTTATTTCACCTTGAACGTCAAACGTATGGCAATGTTACAATGGCATAGCTAAGTAACGGGTCAAACACCGGACCCATCGGTGATTAACTACTACAGGTGCTTCAAAGACCGGATCACGCGCGCCTCTAGCACTTGTAGAAGGAGGCGTAATGTCTAGATTACCTGTACATGTCAAAACTAATGTTTCTTCTACGTATTTAGTACACTCTGTGTTTGTTTTATAAATATTCCGACTGCCATGACCTTTTTCTGAACACATTGATCATTTGCAGATAGGTGACGAATCTTTATGAGAAATACGTCACTTTTCTCTCCTCAAATGCGCAAAAAGTCACAAGTGACACCTCGAGAAATCAAAACTCTTTGCCACAGTATTGATATTTTACGCAGCGAAACTCGCATAAAGGACAGTTTAATATCAGCGACAAGAGTCATTTAAAAGTTGTAGTCCATACATGCTCAAAATTTGTTTTCACATCCATGTCACACTATTGTTGTACATGTAAATACAATTCCTTTGCTTGATCATTGAGTTTTGCGGGATCGCACAACGTTAACGTAACACACATCGATGTGCAGGGTGCGCAAAATGAAAGACTGTGCGGTAGTAGTCACACAACTGTACGATAGCTATTGTGCAATTGTTCAATAGGTATTGTGATTTATATATATTAAGAAATGGTCTGTGAATAAAAAAAGAAGAGATATTTACAGTTATGTCACAGTAATGGCGTTGGAGATTGCCAGCCATTTTATTTTATCTTTGCTGTAAATTTTGTTAAAGGTCTTTTGTGCTCAAGCCTAATTTCTTCGTCCGGTTATAAATTAATGATGTAATCTTTTTCGTCAATGATTTTGAAAACAAATGAAGAGACTAACAGCTGAATAATGTTTTTATTGTGTACAATTGACTTATTGATCGTTTGACATATATGTAATTTAAGTGAGTTCTGCACAGAATCCAGGCTTGAGCATGAGAACGGTTTCATGAAAACGGGCCTTGGTTCTTCTTAATGCGATATTTAGGTGTTCTGTCTTCAATTGATCTTTGAAGATATCTCCGTGGCTACCTCTCGTCGCCCCTTAGCAAATTTAATTAGCCCCCACACCAAACAAAACCCCACAACAACCTACCCATCTCCACCCCTCCCCTCTTACTTATATAGATATAAATTCGATATTACACCCCATCCCCTGTCGTTACGTACGGATAGCTTAAAACCTTATAGCTCCTGGTATTTTATTTCAGTGCTTTCCTAATTATAGACTTATGCTAAAGCACCTGCTATTTTAAGCAAAATTTTGAAACAAAAAATTTAATCACTACGTGAATTAAGTACTAACATCCTTGGTTATCACATTATTCCACTGGCTTGTTTTACGCGTTAGAAATCTTTTTCCTACTTTCTATATAATTAGTCACGGCTTAACCAGCAGTTCCATATATACGGGACCGAAACGGTTTGTGTAACAATGACATGTACGTACGCTATAGGTGACAGGTATAACAGTACAGATGACCCATTCATTGATGTCACAGGTCGTAATCTTCATATACTACAGATATACACAGGTATACAGAAAGGTAAGACGCCAGCCATGTATCAATATTTGTCATATTTATTATATTTACCGCACATATAAGTTTGTGCACCTATACTCGATATTGGAGCACGCTTTCTCCGTGTACGCATATTTATCGTACGTGTGTGTAAAGTATACACCTTTAACTGTAATATAAGTACTTTGAAGTAAAATGGTAATAAAATAATTGTGCCTGTTAGCGCGAATCCGATTGGTTCCGGGAAGATATGTATTGAGCGTTACGTTTTGGCGCTCCCTGTGCTAAATATATAGATATGTTGGAAACACCGTATTTACGATTTGCCTGTTAATACCTGTGCCACTTTTTACAGTTTCGTGTTCCGGCCCCTCGCAATTGTCAGTGTACCTGTCCACTTACGGTCAAACTGGTCATTCATCACACCGTGACCACAGAATAGATATTTCGCCATCACGGACAGTGAGTGGACAATTATGTCTCCTAACTCCCAGTGATAAATAGACAACAGATTTCTTTGTTGGTGAGTATACGTAACGTTTTTAGATCTTAAGGCTATTTCATATGTTTGTTTATTCAATTAGAATGGACATTTATTACGTTCCCGGAACTAAGGTTATCAGAGTAAAAATTTTACACTTACTAATTTAGACTGGTTTCGCCCAGAGTGACTGTCCACGAGATTGTCACGACAAAACAATGTCAGCATGAGGCGACCACGCCACGTTATCGGGAACAATATACGATTATCATTTATACCTGCGTATAAAGTAAAGTTACTAAAATAACCGTAATCCTAACTGTTTAGTGAAGTTATTAGTTAAGGATAAAGTTAATTTCACTTAATTTGTCTTTACAGTTTTTAAGCTACATAAACAATGAAATCTGTCCTAATTTTAATGAATATAGTCACAATACATTTCTTATTTTGGTTACTTCCTAATGATATACGAGTTGTCAATGGAAAATTGGGAATTTCATTTAACCATATTTGAAAATGTTTCCTATTTAAAAACTACATATGTGCTTGTTACTATGAATCGCCCAAATGCCTTTTTGTTAGTTCTACTGGCGTTTTGCTGGGACAAGCTTTGTAAATTTATATACAATTGTAAAATAACATTGCCTGACCAGTATAGCATATTTGGAGGGGTTTAGGTTTCAGCAGTGGACCTAGGATCTTGTCTTTCCTAGATCTAAACTCAGCAGACTATACAACCTTACTATATCTCCATTTTGAATAGCTACATATTATCAATTATTGCAGCCTCGAGATAGACAGTCAAAATATCTGCCACAGGGGAGATTTTTTTTCTTAGTTTCAATATTAGGCAATCTAATTAAAACGTTATTTTCACATCGCTCCCGTTTACTGACATGTCGCGTAGTAAACGGGAGCGATGTGAGAAGATATAATTTTAGTAAGATTGAATATTAGGGATCTTACCGACTTTTCCTGACCGGAAGTGTGGACTTTTTTTCTACAAAGGGGAGACAATCTACATTTATGTAGAACTGGGATGTCAGTAGGCCTAGAAATATATAACTTAGAGTTTATAATCTAAGCAAACTAAACTTAATCATCCATATTAATTATTAATTAATGATTCATTTATTAGATATCAGTAGATCTAGATCATCAATGGTATCTCTTGACCTACATATCTGTATTTTGAGGAAACTCTGATTTTATATTGGTCTGTTATTACCTGAAGCCACTGACCTAGATTTCCTGAAAAAGTTAACTTGATATAGGTCTGTATTCTCTTGAGGTCAACATCTATATTTCCAGGAGAACTAGAATTCGAAACACATGTTGGTCTCTATTATCCTGAGCTCAAGATCTAGATTTTTCGGAGTACTATTATTTGATGTGTGTCGCCCATCTCTTGAGCTCTATACAGTTATGTACAATGTATTTTGATTTGGAGTAGAGTCTCTAGTTCTAGATATCCCAGAGAACCAGTTTTTATAGGTTTGTATCTCCCTAGCCTCTAGAATATCGCGAGAACTACATTTCGTAAAGATTCTCTCTACATGTAGTTCTATTGTAGATTTCCCAGAAAGCTACATTTGGTGTAGATTCTCTAGATCTAGATTTTCCAGAGAGCTAGATTTTGTGCATATTATCTCTAGTCATAGATCTTGGCATTGGAACTTCTTAGACTCCATTCCGTAGTAATAGAAACATCACTTGATTTGCAGAAACAGAAAAGTTTCCCTGCGTATTCCGTCTTTGCGTATTGCAGAGTAATCTTCTCCTGTGAGCAGGTATTGATTGTAACGTCATTGGTTTGTGTGAGAAAATTACGTCGTTTTCTCAAAAATTGATGACGTTACTCTCACAAACAAATGACGTAACAATCAATATCTGCTCACAAGAGAAGATAACTTTGCAATACGCAAAGACGGGATATATTGATCGCAAAAAGTAATTTATTCGATTTAATTTGATAACTAATAAGATACAAAATATATAGATATATTTCTTAAGTCATCTCCTCTATGAAGTTTATACTGATATTTATTATCCCCTAGCAACGGAAGTTCGAGGGGATTTATGATTCCGCCCGTACGTACGTACGTACGTACGTACGTGTGTACGAACATTGTGTACGTATATACGTATATTGCACTTTTTGTCATCGCTCTACCGACTTCATTCATAAACGGAATGTCATGCAACGCCATACAAGTGTTAAGTATGACAATACCTTGCACAAGTTCACATAACGGATTTCTACGTTGAAGGTCAGGGTCACTGTTACTATTTTTAGTAAAACTTTGTCATCGCTCAACCGAAATATTTCCTTAAAGGAATTTCATGAAACTTCATACAAGTGTTTGGTATGGCAATGCCTTGAACAAGTTTGCGTTTAGGGTTTCTATGTTTGAGGTCAAAGTCACTGTTACTTTTTTTAGAAAATAGAAAACAAAAATGTCATCGCTCTTTCGACTTCATTTCCTCTTACATACATGTATGTCACAATGTGTGAATGCGAGGGGATTTGTATCACTGGTGATGCCTTGTTACCGATATATTTCCTGTGAACTGATTGTGACTTTATCTGTTAATATCAATATTTTACAGTGACATCTTACATAGAGACCGTATATACGCATCATTAACATCAACGTCATGACACAATCTCTGGCGCTGTCCGTGCTGCTGGGACTGACCGTGATCTGTTTGACGGACGGGCTTGACCAGGCAAGGGCGAGATGGCCGTTCAACAAACAAGAAACACAAGAAAGTATTCAATGTAAGTAGTTAACCAAAGAATTTTCCACTTAACTTTCTTTAAATATATTTTGATTAAATTAGTTGAAAACAATGGAATCAACTTATTTGTAAGTCGATTAGAACATAGTTTTGATAAGGTTTATCAGTATTTAAGAAATCCATACTTGTCTGCGTTGTCCAGCAGTTCTAAGATGATCCGTCTGTGTACTCATATAAATTAATAACCGTTAACTATTATTGTGGGTCTATTTACACGGTTACCTCCCCTTGAACGATGATCGTAAGACAGACACCTGTACATTTGGTAACTGATACTGTAAGCGACAAAATCATGAACTACACTGCAATATATATCTGTTACTAGGGGTAAAAAAGGTGAAGGCATACAAGTGAAGTGAAGGCATACAACCACTTAAATATATGAATTTCAAAAATGAAATTTGATATTTTTATTTTATCCATATGTTTTATTTTCATGTATTGCAGTTGCAAATACTCCTTTGGTTACAAACAGCGACATTAACAACAATATAAACAACAATATCATCAACGATATCAACAGCAATAACATCAATATCATCAACGACAACAATAATATGAACAACTTAGATATAAACAACATCAACAACATCGGTAACCTTGGAAACTGTCCCCTCGAGCGACACGAGGCCCCAAACATGTATTACCACAGAGAATCCCACGGAAAGCGATTTGAACGGAAGTGTCCGGATAGGCTCATCTTCAGCGAAGTCGACTGCGCATGCGCTTTTCCTCCAGATGGTAAGTCTTCGATAGTATGTTTAAAATCACTTACTTTATAAAGTAACTGTTAATATAAATATCTCCTTTTCCAATAGAAATGCAACTTTGGCTCCCGTTTTTCAAACAAGAACTCAACGACAATGCTCTAAGAGTACAGAATGCATTGAGCAACGCTCGAACAACACCACTATATATAGTTATAGTCGAAACCAAAGTAAGGGAAGGTTACTGTATATATGAAAGCTTCAGTGGAACTCTCTACTGTTTTCCCTGAAGTAGGATAGGTAGCCGTTTGTTTATAATGATGTTTAAGTTAAGAAAAGCATGTTAGGTGAAAAAATTGAAGCAAATGAGTTGTGTATTTAAACAAAGCCATTTAAGTGATGCAACGTTTAAAAATTGAAATACACAGAAGTTTGAATACATGTATACTTTGAAAACGCAATTTTGGAGTAAGTTGAGGAAGAAACTGGATTTGTGTTAGTTTTTTGAAAATTATTTTAGCAGCATTCAACCGTTGGTTTGTTTACTACAATGTAATAAAACTCATGTGTAGACAGTGCAAAAACGTTCAAAATAGTGTAAATTAAGTCTTTACCAACGAGATTGGTCCTGTGCTTAACAAACTGTCCTCGAGTCAATTTTCAATTTGAATTCCGAAACATCTTTTTTTACTATATTTCATGATTCTTTGTTTTAGTTTAAATGATATATAATGACTTATCAGAGGAAGTATGATAACAGTTACTCTTGACCTACATGTATGACCTGTACTTTGTTCTAATATAGATGACTCGGACATAGATAGAAGGGTGCTTAGAATAACCCCTGACCTATGACCTGCACTTTGTTCTAGTATAGATGACTATCGGACATATAGAACAAGGTGCTAAGAATGACCCCTGACCTATGACCTGTACTTTGTTCTAATAAAGATGCCTCGGACATAGATAGCAGGGTGCTAAGTAGTTACTCTTGACCTACATGTAAGACCTGTACTTTGTTCTAATAAAGATGCCTCGGACATAGATAGCATGGTGCTAAGAATGCCCCCTGACCTATGACATGTACTTTGTTCTAATAAAGCTGACTCGGACATAGATAACATGGTGCTAAGAATGACCCCTGCCCTATGACCTGCACTTTGTTCAAATATAGATGACTCGGACATAGATAGGAGGGTGCTTAGAATAACCCCTGCCCTATGAACTGCGCTTTGTTCTAGTATAGATGACTCTCGGACATATAGCACAAGGTGCTGAGAATGACCCCTGGCCTATGACCGGCGCTTTGTTCTTATATAGATGACTCGGACATAGATAGCAGGGTGCTAAAAATGACCCCTGACCTATCACCTACACTTTGTTCTAGTATAGATGACTCTCGGACATATAGAACAAGGTGCTGAGAATGACCCCTGACCTATGACCTGCACTTTGTTCTAGTATAGATGACTATCGGAGATATAGAACAAGGTGCTAAGACTGACCCCTGACCTATGACCTGCACATTGTTCTAATATAGATGACTCGGACATAGAAAGCAGGGTGCTGAGAATGACCCCTGACCTATGACCTGCACTTTGTTCAAGTATAGATGACTATCGGAGATATAGAACAAGGTGCTAAGACTGACCCCTGACCTATGACCTGCACTTTGTTCTAATATAGATGACTCGGACATAGATAGCAGGGTGCTAAGAATGACCCCTGACATATGACCTGCACTTTGTTCTAGTATAGATGACTATCGGAGATATAGAACAAGGTGCTAAGAATGACCCCTGACCTATGACCTGTACTTTGTTCTAATATAGATGACTCGGACAAAGATAGCAGAGTGCTAAGAATGACCCCTGACCTATGACCTGCACTTTGTTCTCGTATAGATGACTCTCGGACATATAGAACAAGGTGCTAAGAATGACCCCTGACCTATGCCCTGCACTTTGTTCTAATATAGATGACTCGGACAAAGATAGCAGAGTGCTAAGAATGTCCCCTGACCTATGACCTGCACTTTGTTCTAATATAGATGGCTCGGACATAGATAGCAGGGTGCTAAGTATGACCCCTGACCTATGACCTGCACATTGTTCTAATATAGATGACTCGGACATAGATAGCAAGGTGCTAAGTATGACCCCTGACCTATGACCTGCACCTTGTTCTAATATAGATGACTCGGACATAGATAGCAGGGTGCTAAAAATGACCCCTGACCTATGACCTACACTCTTTCTAGTATAGATGACTCTCGGACATATAGAACAAGGTGCTTAGAATGACCCCTGACCTATGACCTGCACATTGTTCTAATATAGATGACTCGGACATAGATAGCAGAGTGCTAAGAATGACAACTGACCTAGGACCTACACTTTGTTTTAGTATAGATGACTCTCGGACATATAGAACAAGGTGCTAAGAATGACCCCTGACCTATGACCTACACTTTGTTCTAGTATAGATGACTCTCGGACATATAGAACAAGTTTGCTAAGAATGACCCCTGACCTATGACCTGCACTTTGTTCTTATATAGATGACTCGGACATAGATAGCAGGGTGCTAAGTATGACCCCTGACCTATGACATACACGTTGGTTAATATAGATGACTCTCGGACATATAGAACAAGTTTGCTAAGAATGACCCCATGAACCCTGACCTATGACCTGCACCTTGTTCAAATATAGATGACTCGGACATAGATAGCAGGGTGCTAAGTATGACCCCTGACCTATGACCTACACTTTGTTGTTATATAGATGACATAGCGAGATGCAGGGTATTAGACTAATGAATCTAAGAATGATCCTTGGCCGATCTAACAATATAGGTTTAAGCTAAGATGCCTTTGTGACATACAAAGAGTGCTAAGAATGATCCCTGCCTAATGCCCTTCACCTTGTTTCAGTATTGGTGATTTTGAAGTGCTAAGACTGAACCCTGTTTTATGCCCTTGATTATGTTAAATATTGATGATATAAGATGATGTGAAAGACCGACTAAATATATTGATATGGATGAGGTTATTTGAACCAAATTTGGTATATATCATCCTTGAACACGAAACGTTGTGTAAATAGTGTATATGCCCCTTCTGGTGATAAAAAAGAAGGGTCCAATAGATGAAATTGGGTCATAATTAGGAAACGGTCGAGTCCCCTTCCTTATATCCATATTTATAGAGACAGAATGAAAAAATATATATTTCGCAATGATTTCTTAAATATCCGGGCGATACATGCCGTTTTGGTCTCTCTATATTATGCTATTACCTCTGATGAGCTACAAAATTCAAAATTCCAAAAAACAAAATAACTTGAACTTAACACATTGTGGTGTATTTACAGAGTGTACGGGGATGTCGACCTCCTCCAAGGGACCCCGGCACTACCAGCAGTACGCCGCGGGCCGGTGGGTGACGATGAAATGTGCCCCGGGGACCGTCTACAACAAAGCGTCGTGTCGATGTGACATCCACAGCAATCTGGGACAGAGCAAGACCAACTGGGTAGACGGTAAGTTGTACCTCGTTACACTGCCGCTATAGTTTTCAGAGAAAGTTTGGCGATATAAAGGGTTTGGGCGATACATCGATGGAGATGTGCAGGAAAATTGCTAACAAGAGAATGAGGATCATAAAGTTTGTTTGCGATAAGCGAGGTGAGAAAAAATATAAGGGAGATTGTTATATGCAACAGACTTGTCTCCGGAATTTACAGCACATCGCAACACATTTTATCATTGTATCACCACACCATACTCTTTTACAACAAAATTCACAATATGAAGATATATTCTTCAGTTTTCTTGAAAAAGGAAATTTGTAGAAACTGAAACGCCACACAAGAAAACATCGCATTTTAACTTCACAGCTAGTTTTGAAGTGTACACAATTCTGAAAATGTCTCGAATTATTTCTTTTTTCTTCTTTTGCAGGCTCAATATTTAACTAAAGCTGTACTGCTCGTATTGGTGGACAAAGACTCTCGTATTCAACTATTCCGTCTTTGAGTATTGCAGAGTTATCTTCTCTTGTGAGCAGGTATTGATTGTTCCGTCATTGGTTTGTGTGAGAAAATTGCGTCGTTTTCTCAACAAATGACGTAACAATCAATACCTGCTCACAAGAGAAGATGACTCTGCAATACGCATTTAATGTTTGTACCGGAAGTCGTTTTGTCTAAAAAAACTGAGAAACCAACGACGGGGAGGTTTTCCGGAATTTGTGCAGAACATGAATATACGATTTTATCTTTACAAAGAACTGCGTCTTCAACAGTCAGAAAGAATAATTTCAGTAAAATGTATTGTATCGCCCTTAGTTTTAAACAATGTTGGCAATACGACAAGAAGCATACAATGATCATAAACATTTAAAAAAAAAATCAATTGATATTGATTATTCACTTATTATTATTGATTTTTAAAGTTGTAATAAATTTTCATGAAAATAATATCTTATCTTATATTTCTGTGAAACCACTTGTTTCATATTTTGGGTTGGCTTTGACCGACTTTGGGAGTTTGTATGGAGTTGGATTGTTGCTACGGCATAACAGTGCGTGTCAAGGGAGATAACTCGTACAGAACAACGGACTACAGGCTTGATAACATCAATTTATATCTTAGAATGCCCCAGCGACCCCATATTACAACTTCGTGCTTGTTAAGTTGGACTAGAACACAGCTGTAGCCATTACTATCATTCAGAACGAGCAGCCAATCGAAAAGCTCCGTATAAGCAACTGCATGGTAAAGAAATGACGGCGAACCGCAAAGGGGAAAGTTGAACTCACGAATTAAAAGTACCAGGTATGGAAACTCGAACTGTTATGCCTTAAAGAACACCCTACCCTCACGCACAGGGACCTGATAATTTGTTACAGCTATAGTTGGACCTTAACTAAGGTGTTCCGAGTAATCTTCTTCCGACTTTCCGACTTTTGGAACACTTTTTGTTTTGGGGTGTTATTTTTACCGGAAGTCGATCTAAACCCCTTAAAACAAGTAAAATTACTCTGAACACTTTAGTCTAGGTCTCAAGATAGCTGTAACGAATTATCAAGTCCCTGTGTCCTCACGCTCACAGCACACAAACACACCTACAAAAGACAAACACGTTTTGTTCATTTCAAGATGAAAAGTCTTATTTATTAAATACAAAATACATTAATGGGACTAACGAAACGGTTAAGATATACTGAGCTTTAAGTAGTGTTAAAGGGTCCTCAGCTTTTCTTGTAATGTGCCTTTCACGTGGTAATGTACACACTACAAAATGATGTTGTTAACTGTCAAAGCTATAGGTAAGTTGTGATCGACAAGACAGTGTTTCGTATCGGCGCTACCATTGCGGCGCATATGAGCGCATGCGTGTTGATTGAGGCGCACTACTGTACAACAGAACAACCGAATGGAATATTGAAGCTGTAATTTTGTTTTTGATACATCCTTTTCAATTAACATTGAACCGCCACACTACGGGTCACTGAAAACCTGTTTGAAGCATTCGTATTGTGGTTTGATTTTCAAAGTGAATTATGTTTATTTGTCTCTTCTCAAGTAATTCAACACGAACCAAGAGCCGGTGCGTACGGCCTTCTGTAAACCCTTTTTTCTATATTTCAAATGTTACTTTTATAAATATCAAGAAAGTAGGTCTAAACTTGGTACAGGGTATGTATAATCTGTATTCACTCCAAAATAACTATCTCCTTTCAAAGGGTTTTGACGGGGCAGTGACAGGACATAGTAATGGCCCCTTTCCCTTGCCATATTGATATTGATAAGAGGACAAGTCCGGAAATTGTAAGGGAATCCTTTCTATGTGTTATCTTCTGGCGGTGGTTTGATTAAAGGTACTTCCGTAGTAAGTGAATCGCGCGGCAGCGTAACGACACAATTGACCAGCTTAGATATCGGAGTAGCGTTTTAGTAACCTTCAAAGTACATGTTCATAAGAACGACTGTCTGTCAGCATTGTGATTGGTCAGATTTTGATATCTGATATTGATGTAATAAACACGAACCTTCCATTCCAAGCGTGAGGAGTACGTTACTGTAGACATGCGTTTCCGGGAGCGGAAAGTTTTGACTTTGAATATGTTGGCAAGATGACATAAGTTATGGCCTTGGAAAGAGATAAGAGAACGAGACACTCAATGACGAGTGACGTCACTGGAGACAAGCATGTACCCAGGGCTGGGAACAAAAACTCGGTACACGTTCCCTGGATTTCATCCGCCCGACACCCAACGTACGGACAGACGTATAATAAAGACGGGCGTTTACCATGCAAGTAAATCTACGGAATAAGCTCCGCCTCTTACAGATTGCCTTCATATTCCGGTAGAACAGCTGGTCACATCGATACCTCCCGTGCAGCACTGCATACATAGCATTGTTGCCCTAAAACATATAGTGTTAGTAAAAAAAAAAACATTCTGCACATCATTCACGATTTTTTTATAAGCAAAGTACAAATTTGAAGGAAAAAAACAAACTATAACTAAAATATTTTCCTTTTTAAACTATAAAATACTGTATAGTACATATTCCAACTCACACACTAACGTCATGACCTTTCTTGGTACATGTACCTCCGCTTGACAGTAGCCGCTGATCACCTTTTGGCTGCTTGTTATTAAGGGCTCAGTCTAAATTCAAAACGTAGGTCTTTGTTGTATGGGCAATTATTTTATAGTTTCTTTCGTTGACGATATCAATGAAAATAACGATTTTTTTTAAATACAAAGGATCACGTCCAATGACAGGCAAAACACTGTAGATTTTTGCATATACAGTAATCTCTCCTTCACTTTTATTTTATAAAACCGGCACAGGGCACATTCGTTGACCAGTGCGACAGAATAGCAGTTCAAATCTTAGTCTAGACAAGCTGTATTTTTACACTCGAAACACTTTTAATATATTTTGTTTATTTTATCTTTATTATTTTTCAGTAAAAGTCCAGTAAGATATGTTTTTTCGTTTCAGAAAGGGTCTATCAGAGCTAAAGTCATGCCGGCAAAATCAGTTCTAGTGCATTTAGTGACAATAATTGTTTTAGTGATGCGAGGATCCTTAAATGTAGAATTAATCAGAAAAAGTTCATATTTTTCAAACATTGAAATAATGATTAAAAAACCCGCTGAAAAATATATGCAATTAGTGTATAAAGAAATAGATCGTCATATCCGTCCGAATTTGGACAAAGTCAGTGTCACAACAGTGTTAGGAAATACTAGTGGTGAGTCGACAAGGGACTTGGTGACAGTGGTAAAACGACTCAGAAATTACTTACACACTTGTAACAGATATCGTGTCGCTTGCAGGCCGGAAGGAAGGAATTTCTGAAGGGGATGTCGATGTTAAACGGGATGGTACATCCGTTGTGGAAGGGATTCTCATCGCACGAGTGAGTCTGACTCTCGGCAGCCATCAAGAGCGCACTAGCCAGTAAGATTACCTTCAAAGTTCACGAAGAAACAAAAACATTGTGTATTACTTCGTCTATACATTAACGTGATGGAAACTAAACGAGTTTGTCTTTGTCAATAAATACGTTATATTAAAGGTGGGGTCAACATTTGGCCCCCACTTTGATTTATTTATTATTTTGCCATATATAAAAATGATCAATAACTGCATAAATGTTTATTCATAATTACTACTGAAAACCGTAGTGGACCCCCTTGCATAACACCAGGTTGAATGACGGGGGTATCCTAACAAAATGAGCGATAAATGTCCCAGGCGAATGTTATTTTGAAAATGAATTATGATAGTGTACAGTGTATAAAGTTACTGTAATTCTGATACTAAATATGTCACATTGGTATACATGAAGTAAGCGTAGTGATACTTTTAATTAGAAAAATATGCAAATTTTTCACAAAATTTAAAATATAAACAACATTGTGAACTTGCCTTTATATAGTTATGGTAGTCTATATTTCAAACTTCTTTAACAACTTCCCATAAATGTATTCTGTCTACAGAAACATTTTCATGTAATATCAAAACCGGTTAAGTATTTGTTTAGGATGCCAAGCATGATCAATGCCCGATTTCACATAACCTTGAAGATTTGACTATCGATGTTTATTGTGATAATACCGATACATTTTCTGTTTTTGTATCATACCAAAACACTTTATTATATTAGGCATGTTTTAAAGTTATGTGCAGCAGTAATAACTCATGAATATGTATTCTGCCATAGTAATCTTTCCTCTGGAGAACTACGTTAGGTTGAGATTGTGTTGTAGACAAAGTTATGGAATTATATATAAATAATAAAATCATCTTAATAATAAAACTATTATACACTTTATTATAACCCCGCATCGAAGTTAGGGTTTGGGGCGGGGGGTGGTGTATACTGGAATCAGCTTGTCTATCGGTCTTTCCGTAGAAAACGTTTGTCCGGACAACTCATTCTAAAGTAGTGGACCAATTTCAACGAAAGTTTCCAGATATGATAACCAACACCCGCAATTGTGCATCCAGGTATTATTATTTTCCTTCTGGCCTTCTTTTTTTTAACAAAGTTATGGCCCTATGTTGAAAACTCCTTGTCCAGACAACTCTTCCAAAACTATGGGGCCAATTTAAACGCAAGTTTACAGATATGGTAACTGCCCCATGACATTGTGCATCCAAGTAGTATGTTTTCAGTCCGACCCTTTAAAAAGGAGTCATGGCCCTATCTTCATAAAAAAACTTTGTCTGCCTCATAAACTTCTGGGCCGATTTCAAGCATCAGGGAAGTATTGTTTTCATTTCGACCTATTTTAAGGAGTTATGGCCCTTTGTTAAAAATCTTTGTCTTAACAACTCTTCCTCAACTACTAGGACGATTTCAGCAAAACTGGGTCATCAATGCTATCAGGATTTGGTATGAAAGTATGTTTTCGCAAGGGGAGGGAGTACAAGGGGTATGTCAGTGACATACATGCTGAGATCATTACAGGTGGGAGACTATGGATTGCTTTGCAATGCTTTGCCTTGGTTAGTCTTTGGCTTAAAGTTCTAGTAATCTTCTTTTTTTGCCTTTTGCCCATACATTAAACAAAATATGAAGGAATATTACACTATTTTGTATCGTTAACTCTAAACAAATAAAGCAAGGAGATATATCCTTGTCCTACTCCCCATGCAAACAAACAAATCAGCACATTTTATTTTTTGTGACCTTGAACGAAGGTCAAGGTCATCAAAGTTAACAACACTGAAACTCATTAATATGAACAACCTACTTGCCAAATATCAAGACCCAAGGACCTTTAGTCATGAAGAAACACAAGTTAAAGGAAATGTGGAAAGAAAGATATGTTTTCCCAAAAGTGTTATATGACAAATTTACCGGTCGTTATTTTTTTGAAATTCCTGGTGTTGAACGATATTGTTTGAAGCCAACTTTTCAGTAAGTAAGACAAATAGACTAGTTTGAGAACTTTATAAATTAACGTGTCAAAAATGGAAATTTGCTCATTAAAAATGAAATTTCACACACCTTTCTGCATAAATCAATAAAAAGAACAATTCTTTTTTGAAATAGTGTTATATTTGGTATCAAAATAACAGTTGGAATATGTTGCAGGCGATGTTGATATAATGTTATAGTAATTGTGTTATTTAATCGCTGTAGGAGAAATTGTTTTACCGCACCTTTAACACCCACACAGGTGTAAGTCAATGAGGTCCCATTTATCATCAAATGAATTCTGAAACAAATTGTTCCTGATTTAAGCTTCCTATACCCATACTTTTTTGGATTTATCTTGTTTTGAAATATATAGCGGGGGGCCAACGCTAATGTTAAATCTTCATAGGCGTTGACCCTACCTTTAATAAATAAAAATCCGAAAAAAATTCTCGACCGCCCAAACACATCAAAATTCATCACCGTTTCTTCAGTCTTGGATATTTCCTTGACATTTCTGTAAAAAGTTTATTTTTATTTTTAGTCGTACATATTTTACACCTTTGTGTACATACGCTTCACTGGTCATTTGTCTAATGACCATTGATGAACTGAACTGAACACTTAATGGCTGTGCTACATGAATCTTTTCACTATCTATAATTACCAACCTGAAGAATCTGTTTAGAAATGTTTATTTGTATTTCTTTATTATGTGTGCGATGGTAATCAACCAATTAAATTTTTCATAGCAAGAATTATCATATTCAGTTATCTTTTTCATAGTTTTTGCATGCTTGAAATAACTTAATAACAAAGTTCAATGTGAAGGCACGTTAAGAGAAAAACGAAGTTTGTTGAAGGTTGTGCTTTAAGGTAACTTGGAAAAAAACTGCATGAAAGAATGATAAAAATGACTGAATATTCAAATTTCATTAATGTATTGTATTGTACATATGTTATATAGTGTACATTTGTATTGTACGGCCTAAAATATGACGATACTACTATAAAAATATTCAAATTCACTAGTTATATGAAGATATATAGTCTTACCTGAAACGCAGCCATCTTCTTAACCAGGCCAATATCGGGCAGCTTAGGCCTAACACCTCAATACCGAGGTTACTGCGGTATACCCTTCAACACTGTATACCCTTCAACACTAAACTGGTTCTCACCTTAGAACACTCTACATTGTCTTTATTTGTATGAATGCTAACGCCTGGGTTCTTAAGTTGAGTGTGCACTTCCTTTATGATGTTGTTGTGTGTTTACACATGGCGCGAGACGCCATCACAAATTTATACACGTACATTTTGTATACGACATGTGTACACTTGTCAACCTTCGTGTTAATTGTCTTAGGAACACGGTCAAGTGTAGCTTTGATGTTTATATTTACGTACATTTTGCCCGCTTTCGTTTATTGCGATCAAACGGTTGAACCGGTTGGACCAGTGTTGTTCGTTTATGAAATAAGGTCGGACCTAATAATCTGATGCTACTTTCAGGCGAGCCATGAGCATTTGCAGGTCCGGAAGGGTTTAAAGCCGAAAATGTTGCATTTAAAACGGACAAACCGGTTGTTCTGCATAAACAAACAGACTCTTTGTAACTTTTACTTAGTCACACTTCGAAGAGTTACGCCCTTTTGCTTATAACAACATTGTTTTCAGCATTGCAACGAGGTTAATCATCATGATAAAATGCTGATTCGGATATTTAAATGATCATAGTCTAGCAGTAAAAGATCATGATGACGGACAGGACACCTATCAAACCATGGAAGGAAGTTCAACGGCATACAGTCAATCTAATTAAAATTATATCTTTACATCGCTCCCGGTTACTGATATGTCGCGTTGAAGATCTAACAACATCCCGTAGAGGGTCATGTTCAGGCGACCTTTGCATTAACCAATCAGATGAGAGCTTACGCATTTCTGTAAGTGATGATGTAATGATTTCGGGACACACTTGCTATGATAAAAGACCGAGAGGTGTGAAAATGAGCATCGAAAATGGCGGCGCCCATGACACCACGCCCCGTCTATCTACAAGACAACATGTACAATTTGTGGATTTTGCTTTGAAATAAGAGAGACTTCCTCTCCTAGTGATGTTGTCGTTTAAAAGTTTAACAACCTGAAACTAAAACTAACCAATGACAGGCTTCGCAATATTCAAACTATCACTGGACCAGACGAAAAAGGGGATTTTGGGCTACGAGGTGTCTGCATTAAATGCTACAGGTCCTGCATTCTGATTGGTTTAAAGAAAAAAAATATGTCGCGTTTTGATTGGCTTGTTATAAATACGATAATGCATTCATGTTGACATCTGACGTGACCCTCTACGGGATGTTGTTATATCTTCAACGCGACATATCAGTAAACGGGAGCGATGTGAAGATATAATTTTAATTAGATTGGCATACAGTCTAGAGGCACCAAGGAAATTCGTGAAAAGACGGACAAATATGAGGCCCGGAACCGGAACGTTTGTTAAGAATGACCGCAGAACTCCTGTCTTAACATTAGCTCATTAGAGCTAATATTGCGAGACACATATATACAAAATAACAATAACATATTATAATAAAAGTAAAGAGAGATAACAAATATATTAATAAAAAAAACAGTAATAATTATCACAGAAATATAAGTGATTGGGAGTGACCTACCTACACAGTGGCGGAGTCAGAGGAGTGTTTTTGGGCTTCAGGACCCCCTCCTCCCCCTCCATCCCCCACCCCCTCCCCCTCCAATACAATGCTCATATAGCAAAGAATAAAAATTGACAGAATATCCACTAATATAGTGTGAAATTAAAGATGACCCTGGGCACCTCTGCAGTATTTTCTTTCCTGAAGTCATAATTAGACATCTTAATATTTACAAGGTCATAAATATATTCAGGCGACATTTTATTTATAGTTTTAAAAACCTCACAACCCATAGTCTTCAGACGCCTTACATGTATCTTTTCTAGCTTTCTGACACTCTTCATGGAACAAGAGTGCCAGACTAAAGGACAGTAGTTAAAATTTGAAACAATAAAATGATTATAAATTACCAGTCTATTTTGTTTGGTTAAAAAAACTCCCAATTCGCTTTAAAATAGACATTTGCCTTGAGGCTTTCCTACTTTCAGAGATATGTGCTTCAAAGTTTAAAAATGAATCAAAGTTCACACCTTAAAGTTTGACAACACTGTCAGGAACAATATCTGATTCGCCAACATTAAAAGACTGGTTAGCATCTACTGAACGTTTCCCTATGCAAATGGCCTGGAATTTATCAGGGTTCGCATTCATCTTGTTTAATTTAAATCAGTCTATTAAATGTTGACAGTCATTTTCAATATTATCTTTTAAAACATCTGGGTCTTTATTTGATTCACTGACAGTGTTGTCGTCTGCATAATGATTCAATTTACAGGATGTCACATATAAAAACATATCATTTACAAATTTATTAAAAAGCAAGGGTCCTAAAATAGAACCCTGGGGTACCCCGTTCAGCACTTCCAGGCAGTCATTCCGTTTGGAGCCAATTTTTATCTGCTGCTTCCTGCTGCTCAGGTAGCAGGACACCAGGTTAACTGAGGCTTTGCTCAGGCCATAGGCTTCCAGCTTCCCGACCAACAAGTTATGAGGAAACCAGTCAAAAGCCTTGGAGAAGTCCATCAGTATGGCGGCGACATACTCATGGTTGTCCAGTGCTCTACGCCAATCCTCAACAAGTCGCAACAGGGTAGATTGACAGCCAATTCCTGGTCGGAAGGCTGCTAGGAAAGGATGAAAAACTTAAGTAAAAAAAGGCAGTCAGTTGATCACACATGGTTCTTTAAAAACAATCGATATGCAAGGTAAAATGCTGACTGGTCGGTAGTTTTGTTTATCTAAAAAATATTTTTTTCTTAAAATCAGGAACTACCTGTGCCTCCTTTCGTCTACAAGGGAACTCTGATTTATCAAAACAGTGGTTAATCATGTCGCTCAAAGGCACTGATGTATGTACAACAGGTTCTAAGAGTTTGAAATATATGCCATCGATACAGGTGGCCTTCTTCGCCTTCACCTTAGAGATAGCCTTTTCAACAACGAAAGGACAAACATGGTTAAAACAAAATGTGTACTCATCATTTTTGTGTGTGCCTTAATCTCTTTTAAAATAGTTTCATCAGAAGAATCTTCTGTACCAATATCAGAATCATTTACATAAAAAATATTAAAAACATTGCTGACCTCTGTTTGATCACTGATAATGGCCCCATTTTCCTTTAAAATTAAACGTTTAAATCTATCAAAACACCTATTTCACCTCTATCTGCCACAGAAATAACAAAGATATCATGTTTGAATGAGAGGCGTAAATAAGAAACAGCGTCGTACTATACGTGAAGCTCTCGAACCTATGAGTAGTTACCTCATTTTTAACGATCAGCACGTGCACAATTAATTTCCTTCCCATAAATGATAGAATGTGCGTACTACATGTATATTAAAGTAAGCTAGATCAGTTCATATCTGTTAGATGTAAAGCAGAGTTACGGGTTATGTACATATAAACAGGTGTTGTTTTTTTTTACCAAAATGTGCAACCTTTTCGAAACGACCATCTTCATTAAATTAAAAACAAATTACATAAAGTATTTGAAAACACTTTCTTAATCATTCAAGTCTGAACATTTATAATTGTATCAAACGCTGATTATTAAAAATTGTACGAGAAAATACTGAAAATTTAACTCAAAGCCGTAATTTGAACCTAAAATTAACAAAAGCAGATAACAAAATATTAAAACGGGAAATATTAACATGCAAACAATTTCAAGAATACACAGAAAACACATCAAAGGGTTCAGAAGGATTCGTGTTTTCTGATTCATCGACGACAACCGATTTCTGGATTGAGATCAAGTCTTATTATTAGTTATTTCCAATTTTTTGTAATAAATAAAACATTAAAGTGACAAGCGCACCAAATTCGGTGTGCAGACCAGAGACCCTACAGCCTGCGTCCTGGTTATCTCCGCCTAATCATCTTTTACAAGAGAGGATATAGCCAGTAATTTCAGACTAGCATTTTTCAAAAGTCCTCGTGCTGAAAGATTTATACAGATTTGACTAAAATAAGATGATCTAGCTTAAGTCTGATTTTATCGCTGATTTCAGCTTTAGAGTTCCATTTTGAATTATTAATAAGGAGTTGACAGAGACATTTACAGTATTATCTGCCGAAATATGTCACACCCGGAGACACTATTGAGAAAATGTTCATGGAAAATTTCCAGTTACGATACAACTACTACGCTAATCATCCCCGACTTTCCAGGGGTTACGCTCACACTCTCTCGCTGCACCCCTGGGATACGTCATAGCAAAATTGAATGCTCTGTGTGCGCCACCCTAAACTTGTTGATGAGACAAGAAGACGAGTTAGATCCTGTAAAAATTGACTGGCTTGAATTCGGGTGTCGCTCCTTGTAACCTGCCAAAGGACAGATATTAGCCTAACGATTGGTCAGGTTTTTTAACCTGTGACCAATGAAATATATATCTTTGTGCCTTCAATTTTGCTATGACAGGGGTGCAGAGAGCGAAAGTGAGCGTAACCCCTGGAGTATCGAGGATGCATGCTAACGGACTACTGTGGTAAAAAAAAGTCCTCCAAATACTCTTACAGTTCCTAGGTATCCAGTTACTTCCGTGAGGCATCGCGTACGAGAATATCATTTGTTTACAAAGGAAATGGGATGTGCGTCTTGTAGGGGCTAAGGAATTCCGGTGACTATGTAGCTCAGCTGATTAGGGCGTCGTTTTTGGATAACCCCTTTCTGTTAGAGTTGCATTGCTATGTCCTGGTCATACTGTTACAAAATGAGTTTTAATGGCGACGCAAATCGGAGCTGGTAAAACATGTTATTTACGAGAGTATAACTACGACATAGCGACGAAAATCTCGAAATACCGTATTATTATCCAAACTTTTGTTCATATCATAAAACCAAGAACGTTATTAAGTTATTTCTGTGTGGTATTTTACTTTGATCTCGGTTTGAAACGCTAGTAATAATCAAAGTAAGGTGGAATTACATTGACCTTTCGGGTTATACTATTGTTTGTGTCGTCATTTTAATCGATTTTATGACGTGTTGGGGTCAGTCGGGGTCATTGATGCCATTTACAATCATCATAAGGGAGTCGTATGCAATTCTTCAGAAGTTTCAGAAAATATCGAGGTTATCCGTCACAATTTTTTTCGATTAACAAGTCAAACGGCATGTTACATATTAAGTGAATTAAATGTAAGATTTCGAAGGTCCCGGGTTCGAATTTCAGTACGGACCCAATGAATTTGATTTGTTTTATTACACGAGCAATATTTATTAGTGTGAGAAAGCGTCAAGGATTTTATTTGGCAGGTAAAGATATAGTGAGTATAGTTGAAATGCAACTGACCTTTTTGTGAAAACGCAAACAAATCTAGGTATTACATAGGTCTGTCAAGCTTAGATTAGTGAAAGTGTGAATATGTACTCCTCATTATATGATATGTTTTCTACATGATTTTCAAAATTAGGACATGGTGATTAATAAATACAATTGAAAAAAAAATGTTTTTACAGAGCTCCACGCCGCCAAAAAGGTGACGCCCGTATCGATATTTTGAAATGATTTAGGCATGCAATATGTGTTATTTCCTCTATATTACTTATACAAAGATATTGATTATTTTCAGTGTTCCGTAAGTGGCGTAGCAGCTAACCAACTTCTTTCGACTAGTCATCCTCGATACACCTGGGGTTACGCCCACTTAGGTTCTCTGCATCCCTGGATTATGTCATACATAGTGTAGCAAAACTGAAGGCTCAGTGTGCGTCATTTTTGTAGATGAACATCAAAGGATCTCGCGGTCGCATAACGGTTAAATTGACTTACTTTTCGGGTATCGTTCCTCTGTAATCTTTAAAGGAAAGGTATCAGCCTAGCGATTGGACAGGTGTTTTTTTTTTACCTGAAACGAAACAGCTAGCCGCATGCCTTCTATTGTCTATGACATATTCCAGGGGTGCAGAGAGCGTACGTGAGTGTCGTACTCCTACAGTATCGGGGATATCGACCAGTATGATATTGGAAAGGGTTTGTTTTTCAGGTGACAACCATAACTGGCCATGATTATCTCTATTGTTTTAAAGATATACATTTACCACTGTCTATCACTCTTCATAATAAAATAAAATTCTCCAAGATACGGTGTTACAAATCTGTTCCACAAAAATAAATTGTGGATTTAAAAAAGAAATTAAGCCACGTAGATTGTAAGTTTAAAAAGCAATATACGTGTGTGATTTGTTTGTTGACGGATATAGTTCATAGTATGCACATTTTATTAATCATTTTATTTGAAATTTACCAGTAACCCTCTAAATTTAAATGTCTAAATTATAAAATTAAGGGAGTCTACGCACCTGACTCTCTGTTTAAACAGTAGTTTTGACAAATCGGATTTCCAGTGTTTCGGCCCCTAGCATTACCTATAATTACTAGAAAGACGGAACAGATGTATGATGCAGTGTCATTCATTCTTGGCTTACTGTGGCTATTACCAATTGTTAAAGGTGCAATCAGCTGTGTGCTACGTGCACCATTAAAAGACTCCGATATGGTAATATGGCGTAGTACAAGGTTTAATTGGTTTTGTTTTCTGCATCGACAAACTAAATTTTTAATAGTTCTTCGTGAAATACATTTTTCAAGTAAATGTTTATAATTTTTCAATTTTTATAGAATGTCATGCTTTTATAATACAACGCTTTTACAGAATTCGATAATGTGTTTTATCAAGTATTTGGAATCTATCAAAAAATATATATGTTTTATAAACTGTTTGGGATATTTAATGAATTACATATTTTACGAAATCCAATGCATCAGAGTCATTGATTAAAACAAGTGTTAAAAAGATTTTTTAAAGTGTATCAAGATTTTAGCTAAAAGTTTGTTTTATTCATAGAATATTAAAAAAGGTTTTCATATGAACAAATTTTATATCAGTCAGATTTTCAAATCTAATCTTATGGAAGTGATTTGCAAAAACACATTTTTTTGTCTTTAAAATATCTTAGTCGATCATTTTATATAAAAAAAACATTAATTTTTAATAAAACTGACTTTAAATACTTTTATAGATATTAATGCATGAAGGAACAGTTTTATCTGCTTTAATAAACCTTTTCATATTTTATTTTCATGTTCAATTTTTTGAAAAGAGCTTTGCAAAAACCTGCACATTTATACAAAATAACATGTATTAGAAGGTGATCGTTTTGAATTCCAGGATTTTTCTGATGTTTTTTTTTTATACTTTTGATAGTTTTAACTTCTATTGTTTAATTATATTTTCTGTGTCTCATTGTGTAACAAAACTGATGAACAAGATATACCGGAATATAGAGCATAACAACATCCATTTTAATAAAATTGTGACATTCACATCTTGCCACAACGTTCCATTACAATTATTTTTATAGTGATTTATTTTCATCAACAGGCCGGCAGCAATACACGACCGCATTACTGACATGTCAAGATGGTGTAGGAAAACATGTTTGACTGTATCAGGATTTTCAAAAACAACGAAAGATAATATACTGTTTGAGCTTTTTATTACCAACTGCACAGAAAAAGTTACATGTATACTTAAATGAAATATATTCTTTCTCATTTATAGTTTTGTTCAAGTTTGTAACAGTGTGACCATAATTTCCAATATTGACGTGGTATTTGCATCTCTCTCAAAGTCACAATGAAAAAATATTAGGAAATTTAATCAAACAAGTCAACTGAAAATATTAAACAAACAAATAATTGCCTCAAAATAGAGGAAAAAGGATGTGAGACAATGTCTAGTTAAACAATGTGCGGAGAAAGTCATTATGATGATTTATATACTTTGATCATTTATCTATTTATTTATTTTGTGGATGAGAAAATAAAGGAAATTTTCCAAATCGATATTAATATTGGTTTCTATTGTTGCCCTGGAACGTCACAATATAAAGTAAGGCAATCACAAATGTCAAGATTGGTTAGATATTACATTCATACTCCAAAGAATGGGAAAAAGTTGGAATTCATGTAGCAATGTAATTCTTAATCATTTGGAGATCAGCAGTCACAGATATACCCATCCGTAGTAGTTGGCAATTGAAAATCATATTTATCCAATAAGTTCATACACAAGTTATACCTTCTAGGTTCTAGTTCTAGCTTGGCGAAGCGACCAGTTACATATTACGCTACCATCCGGTTGTCTAAATGAAAAACTAATTCTAAAAAAAAAAAAAAATCCCACGGCATATATATTATTTTGTACAATTATTGTTACGGATTTTTTTGGAGATTGAACAGAGAGTGCCAAGTTGGGCCACCATCTAGCTGTATTTACTATCCTAGGAATGAGTTTACTGGTTAAAATAGTTCATGTTTGCCATCCTGGTTATTATGAAATCAGAGGAGAAAACAATGCAATTTGATTGATATTTCAAAAATTATCTAAACGATAACTATATATAAGAACACAAACCATGCACATTTAATTGAAATACACATAAAAGCAAATATCAAACGTTTAAAATTGACTTACATCTTAATATTGTTGCATTAATACCTTATACACATTACGAATTCTTTTTATAGTATTATGAATCTATCACCTATGTCTCCCTATACTTTCTCTTGCAGTATCTCTTTAAATCAGAAAAATAAAAATACAACACTTAGGTAACAATTCACCTCAAACGCTATTATAAATATACTTGTAAGAACAAAACAGCACTCTATTTAAAGGTATATTAATATAAGTTTAAATAAAATTTGAAACATTTATTAAGCCCATAATTTGATTAATCTTTTATTTTTCTATAAATAATTAAAAATCACTCTCATCTAAATATATATAAAATACATTATTATTATTATTTATTCATTGTTTAAGTTACATTTCATGAAATTATTGTAAAAACATATAATATCATAATCGGAAAAAAACAATAACAATATTTTAACTTCTAAAATAAGAAATTCTTATTTTACATACTAAATATATCAAACACATTTAGTAAAGCTGATGAAACACATAATATAAAAACTAATTGCAATGTGTTATTTAAATATCTCTGCAAGCTGCTATCCGCGCCCACATGAATGGTGAAAATAAGTTGATATAACTTAATTGATAATCAACATACATTTACATACATCTGTGTCGATGGTGAATGCCAGTCTCAATACAGGACAAGCGGCATTTCGCACTGTATCGTTCTCACGCTGAGGATCAATCTCTTCCAACACTTTACTCGGAAACATTAAAACGGTGGAATTTTTAATAAGGTTGTTTAATTAACCAAAAAGAAAATCTTAATATATTAGTTTTTACGATAGCCAACAAGTAATCGCGATAAAACGTTAAATATACAGTAATGCTACATTAGTCAACAACAATGTAAAATCTTTAGCTAAAATTCACCCTGTAACTAATAAGTAATAAAATAAAATCTGAATAATTTAGATACAAAACGACATAAAACAATCAATTACAAATCATGAAGTATGCTAAGTCATTCAAAATCCAGACACGTTGATTTATGGAATTTAAACATTTTGTATTTTGGGTTGAATGATTTTTTTTTTAAATTGCTAAATAACACAAAACAGTACGATATATGTAAATGAGGTAGAGTTTATGATTTCATGTAAGCTGTGAGAATTCCCAAATGTACCGCGAATATTTTACAATAAATATGCTTGCAAAAACGAAATGTTTAGGTTTATTTAACCACAAAAACAGCAGAGGTATTGCAGCAGATGAAAACAGTTTGAATAAATGTTAGATTAACAATTTCTTCTAATAATCCCGAAAGTAAGTATTCGCGAAAATCACTCGATCTGCAGTTCATGAAATCTTTTGCACATGATTCTTACCTTTAACAACGCTATCTTTATAATTCTACAACAAACCCACGGATATTCTCTATCACATGGGCGTGTCTAAGAGACCTGGTATGATAAATATATGATGCAGGTGCATGCTAATTTATACATAGTCATTTATTTTAATCATATTTTTTAAACAAGAACAACAAGAATGTTTTTCGCAACCACAAATATCATATCCTAACAAATTAATCTAATGTACATTCTGATAAAATATTACGTGAAGTTAACGATCCTTTTCCAAAATATGGGTTTATCCTTCCATTTATTTAAAGGCCGAACATGCAAACGTCACTAATAATAATGTAGGTAAAGACAAATCACACGAGAATTATATCATTTAGTCAGGATAACCATACTGAATTTTCTCTGAAACATGTATTTTGAGATTATTGTATTTTCCTTTTTTTTCCTTAAAAATATTTAGTAATACTTTGGTCGGTACAAAAATTGTTTTATATGACAATTTTTTATTTACCAATCAATTCAATGAGAAGGAATTCTTTTCATACATACAACAGTCGAAATCCAGATTATATTTATAATGCAGTACTATTCATTTTTGGCATTCTGTATTTCTTACCACAATTTAAAGGTGCAACAATTTTTGCGTGACGCACCTTCAGTGTTTTTCAATAGTTATCACCAGCATCACTTAATTCTTAAAAAAATGATGTTTTTTGCAAAATATCCAAGGTATTTATACTTTCTATTTCACTTTCCAATTTTACAGTCATTGACAAGTTGTTTTCAACGGCCTGTAGCAGATTTTGACCTCAGCCGAGCATCACGCATAGGTCGTATGTTGTACCGAAGAACATAGCAAGGCAGTATATGGACCACATCCTGCATTACTTCAGGTCCCATTGGTCTCCTTAGCGATCACTTCTGACTGACGTAACTGACGACGCGTTGTTGACGTCATCGATGTTGATCTATTTTGTTCCTTTTAAACGAGAAAAAAAGTTCCAAAAACAATATCGATAAACAATTATGGTTGTTCTTTTGATTAAAACCCCAAAACAACTAAGGGAGGTGCCTGCAGATGATAATGAAAACAATTAATTTTCCTTGCATTATTGTTACCCTAAATGTCTTAAGAAACAAGGCGGTTTAGATTGACCAAATTTGGAAAGGACAAATACGGAGTATGAATACAAAGCACCTATTTAAACTATTTTTAAACACCAATGAATCCATATGATAAGCTACAAAAACCAAAATATATAAAAATATGCTGTGTCGATAAGTTTGATAGTATATTTTTATTTGTATTTTGTGTAACATACATAACAAATATTAGCGTACAAATTGATATCGACAAAAAAGAAATGCTAGTTTCATTAGACCTAATCTGAATACTGATAAAATGGTTAACATTGGTGTTTTTATCATGTAATAACTTCCAATTCCTTCCTTTTTCTTAATTTTGTTTATTTTTTAATTTTGTTGGGCATTTCATTGATATTTCCAAGTCCTAAAAAAACTGAGACTTAATTCTTATTTCTCTCCCTTTAGAATGAGAATTAATAAAATTGATAAAATTAATGACATCGTTTTATTCATGTAATACCTTCCCATTCCTTCTCTTTTTACAACATTTTTATTTTTTTTATTTTGTTGAACATTTAATTGATATTTCCAAGTCTTAAAAAAACTGAGAGTTAATACTTATTTCTCTCCCTTTAAAATGATAGTTACTCACTCGTCGTCTCTTCCTCCAAATAGCTGTAACAGTGTATAAAAACGGGTTAACAGCCGCATTTATCGGCAGCACGAACACCATCACCCATGCATAAGCGTCATCAGAGATTTTGATTCCACATTTTGCAAGCACACCTGAAAAGTCAATCATGATAAATTACGCAGTTTCAATATTTCATATAATCATTATATCTACATGAGTCCGCCTGAAGAAGTCCTAGCAAGCAGAAATGCCTTGCAGTAGATCTTGGAAACTAAATATTTTATTCAATTTTTTCCTCCGTAAGAACTTGCACATTTATTATCAACTGAAATATAACATATCTACATTTCTTTGCAAATTTATACGAGAACAATTACTCTATCAAAACACTTTATTTACAGTTTATGTAATTTGGAAATCAAATCCATATGGCTTAAATAGTTATGGTATTAATATCTTCCTTGTGAAATAAATAATATTGGAATACATAATGCTGGTAAATTACCTGGAATGAGTTATGAATTCCCATAATCGTTTATAAAATGGCTCATGAATTTGTAGAGGGATATAATATATATGTTATATATTGATCCGTATTTTAGTAATTGAATACATGTTTTAGAAATATATATCATTATTCTCTGTATGTAGTAAAATCTACGTTTGTGGTCTTGAAATCATCATTGCAAAATATCGAACCGATGGGACAGCACATTGTATCTAAAGTGTGAAAACCATGTCTAGGAAGTTTACAGACACTTTCAGATAAACAGAATATATTTCATTTCAATAAGAAGAAATGACGGGGATCAAATTCGATTGTTTTCCTTATTTGCTTGTTTTCTTCAACTCAAGTAGAATTAACCTGTTTTTATTTCGAAGCATCTTAATTTACAAAAATATGGGGGGACTTATTCTCTCTCTCTCTCTCTCTCTCTCTCTCTCTCTCTCTCTCTCTCTCTCTCTTTCGATTACTAGTACGGTATGTACTCTGTCACCTTCATCAGACAAATGACCAGTTGATTCATTAAAGCCAAGTGTGATAACTGACACCTTTTCAAATCGATGATCGATGTAATCAACAGCAATTACCGTACTGCTCTTAAAATCTCTCGATCGACTTTCAAAGCTCTACTGGCTTATGTAAAAGCATGAACCTGTAAAGCTGTCCTAGGTTGTGGTTTTAACTGTGGAACTCTTTTATCCATGACCATGCTTTGTGATAAATCTACCGGTTTGAACTGTCATCAGTTTGGGTGTACAGATCATTAACGAGACTCGCAGTAAGAACAGCATACAGTTGATCAACAGGAATGAAGTTGTTGTTTTTATTATGAACGAATTGGTTTTGACAGTCCGCACACGTTACAGTCTTAAGCTTTATCGTAAATTATTTTTACCGATTTCATGCTTATCTATTCACAAAAGATGTATGGTAATACAAAACAATTCAAAGGGAAACACTTACCCATGACACCAACAGGAAACCAGCAGCAGAAGTCAGTCGAAACCACAAGGAAGAGAGTTTTCGCTACAGTCCTCTCTCGTTGGATGCTTTTTGAGGAAGCGATAGTTCTACTTTTTTGTCTTATTGTTTTTAAAATCAATATTTGCCCTAACACTATAACACCAAAAATAAAACTGTTGAGATAAACGAAAACCGCAAACGAGTATTCCGACCCCGGCTGATCATCGCCTAGAAGAGGAAGAGCAAGACAAACGCCTGCTTGAGAATAATATTCCCCTTTGAAATAGGACTGTGCAGAAACAATAGGAATGAATGCAAGTGTTATAGAAACAATCCAGAAGAAAACTGAGACAAAAATAGCCTGTTTCCAGGAAATCCTCCAACGGGGGAGATGGGACAACGGTAACACTATGACAATAAGTCTGTCTATTGTCACCAGTAGAATCAGAAACGTCGACATCTCACTAGATATAAAAGATAGCGTTCCAGCTGTGGTACAAAAAATACTTTGTCTCCATTTCTGATCGTTCCATGCGTAAACATCGTTGTAATATGCGTCAGCGATGCCTATGATGAGCAAATAGATGCCCATGAGGAAATCGGACACCCCCAAGTTTAGTACAAACAGCGAATAAGTATTTTCTATATTATCTCGTTCGAGGAACAGCCGGTAGAATATAACGACTGCATTTCCCAATAAAGCGCATACTCCAATAATCCAAAGAAAGACTCGAAGTACATCAGAGCTAATCAAGTCAGTACAGGACGAAATTGCATCTTTTTTTGCAAATGAACATGTCGTACCTGACCTTAAGCAATCTGAACCTGAGCTACTTATTGCCAAACATTTATCATCACTGACAGATTCAGGTTTCATACAACACATGAAAGGAACATTAGTCAGTAAATATCGTAAATTGTCTAAATCTTTGAAGATATCTTCTGTAATTTCCAGATTGTTGCCAATGATACTTAACATTAGCAGACTGCTACTGTTGGTGAATGTCCCGACAGGCAAGTTTCTTATTGCATTATTTGAAATGTCAAGAATTTTAACGTTTGAAGGTAGCGTGGGGAGAAACGCGATCTCGTTATTGTTTAATTTCAGAAAAATGCGTCTAGTCATTCCACGAAATATATTTTTAGGGAGAACTTTTATCTTGTTTTTAGAAAGATCTAGTAAATCGAGTTGAGATGATTCACTGAATGCATTCTCTGAAAGAACTGCTATTTCGTTATTATACAAATCGAGAAATGTAATTGCAGATAGTCCATTGAACGCGCTGTCGGAGATAGACGTTAATTTGTTGTTGTCCAGTTCCAGAAACTGCAGCCCAATTAATCCCCTGAACACATTATCAGACAAAGTCTCTATCGCATTCCGTGACATATCGAGTACTATAAGTCTTTGCAGCCCCCTAAAGGCGTTAGTCGAGATGGCTGATATACTGTTGTTTTGTAAATATAGTTTATCAAGTGCAGACAGATTACTGAACACATTATCAGTGAGAGTCTCTATTGCATTGTTGGACAAAAATAGTGTGCTTAGTCCATACAGTCCACTAAAAGTGTTATTCGAGATGACTGATATCCGATTATATTTCAGATCAAGTAGTTTTAGTGCAGAGAGATCACTGAATACATTATCAGGGAGAGTCTCTATTGCATTGTGGGAAACATAGAGATTGAAAAGTGCATGCAGTCCACTGAAGACGTTATCCGGGATAGCAGATATTTTGTTTTTTTCCATATAAAGGTAACTAAGACTGGACATATTCCTGAACACATTGTCAGGGAGAGTCTCTATCTCATTATTTGATATATCGAGTCCGTAGAGCCGAGTCGGTTTTGCGAAAACAGGAAGAACAGTTATCCTATTGTTGGCAATCAATCCCCAGAATACGTTATCAGGAATGTTATCAGGAATAACTTCTATATCGTTAAAGGACAACTCAAGATAAGAAAGGTTAGACAGTTCACTGAAAACATGTTCTGGAAGCTGTTCTATTTCGTTATGGGATAGAATCAGATCACGAAGATTGGACAGTCCACGAAATACATGTTTGGGAAGATTCACAACACTGTTATACGAGAGATCGAGTTCATTGAGCTTCAACAATCCACTGAACAGGTTACTGGGGAGAACCACTATCTCGTTAAAAGACAAGTCAAGTCTTTTCAGATTAAATAGACCACTAAACACACTGCTTCGGAGATCAGACAGCCGGTTTTGGGCGAGATTTAACGATTTTAGTTTTGACAAGTCGCTGAACAAATTTTCAGAAAGTGATGATATTCCGTTCTTGGAAACATCCAATGACATAAGACTATGAAGTCCCCGGAAGAAATGATCTGACAATGTCGTTATATATGTAACGACAAGGTAACGGATTAAAGAAGGACGAAGGGAAACCTGAAACTCAGGATTACTCCCACTGACGATAAAGGACGAGTTGTTGACAGAGAAACTGGCAGCAGCAATAAAAACATCACTAAAGTTCACAGTTAAAACGATACACATACACAACGGCGGGCACGGCTCCTCGTTATACTGATGATATTCAGCGATTCCAGAACAAACTTCTGGTAAGGGTGTGTAGTAGTCATTAACGTTTAAGCAATGGCGTAATCCTTTGCAGTTTATTTCTGAAAAAAATAATGTCTGCTCAAGTAATTTCAAACCTAACAAATTCTTGTTACACAAATTGAGGTATGTTAGATAAAAAAGAGCAATCATTCAATTACGTGTCCTGAATGTTACATTTAAATTATAGAACTGATCTCATAATTTTGGTGTGTGTCAAAACGAAATGCATGGGAATGTATATCATACAATAGGAATGTACAGAGACCAAAGCATTTATATGAAGTGCAAAGGAATTGTATGTTCATTGAAGAGGACGTGTATGTTAATCAAAGAGGAATTGGTGTTTAGTGAAGAGGACATGTTTGTTTAGTGAAGAGGACATGTATGTTTAGTGAAGAGGACTTGTATGTTTAGTGAAGAGGACGTGTATGTTTAGTGAAGAGGACATGCATGTTTAGTGAAGAGGACATGTATGTTTAGTGAAGAGGACTTGTATGTTTAGTGAAGAGGACATGTATGTTTAGTGAAGAGGGCGTGTTTATTTAGTGAAGAGGACTTGTATGTTTAGTGAAGAGGACATGTTTGTTTAGTGAAGCGAAGAAATGAATGATTAGTGAAGAGGTCATGTATGTTTAGTGAAGCGAAGAAATGAATGATTAGTGAAGAGGTCATGTTTGTTTAGTGAAGCGAAGAAATGAATGATTAGTGAAGAGGTCATGTATGTTTAGTGAAGCGAAGAAATGCCTGATTAGTGAAAAGGTCATGTATGTTTAGTGAAGCGAAGAAATGAATGATTTGTGAAGAGGTCATGTATGTTTAGTGAAGCGAAGAAATGAATGATTTGTTAAGAGGTCATGTATGTTTCGTGAAGCGAAGAAATGAATGATCAGTGAAGAGGTCATGTATGTTGAGTGAAGCGAAGAAATGAATGAGTAGTTAAGAGGTCATGTATGTTTAGTGAGGCGAAGAAATGAATGATTAGTGAAGGGTTCATGTATGTCTAGTGAAGCGAAGAAATGAATGTTTAGTGAAGAGGTCATGTATGTTGAGTGAAGCGAAAAATGAATGATTAGTGAAGGGTTCATGTATGTCTAGTGAAGCGAAGAAATGAATGTTTAGTGAAGAGGTCATGTATGTTGAGTGAAGCGAAGAAATGAATGAGTAGTTAAGAGGTCATGTATGTTTAGTGAGGCGAAGAAATGAATGATTAGTTAAGGGTTCATGTATGTTTAGTGAAGCGACGAAATGAATGATTTGTGAAGATGTCATGTATGTTTAGTGAAGCTAGGAAATGCCTGATTAGTGAAGAGGTCATGTATGTTGAGTGAAGCGAAGAAATGAATGAGTAGTTAAGAGGTCATGTATGTTTAGTTAAGCGAAGAAATGAATGATTAGTGAAGAGGTCATGTATGTTTAGTGAAGGGATGAAATGAATTATTAGTGAAGAAGACATGCATTTTATTTGTAGAATCAAAATATTTGAGGGTGTAAAAGATTTAGAAAAAAAACAATCAACATGTACACAAGTTGTTAACGTGAAATTGACATGGAATTACCACAGTTGTATCCGTCTCCGTCTGCAGGGCAGTGAGTCTTACATCCATAACTAATATGTTGGCACAAAGTTGACGGACAAGTGTACTCCATTTTCGGATTACCATTACCCCAACCTAATAAAAAAAGAGCATAGAAGTGCACTTGCTTTCAAAAGTTATGTACTTGTCCTCATTGCACTGTTATAATTACGATTGCTTAGCCTATTGATACATGATTACGATTGCTTAGCCTATTGATACATGATTACGATTGTGAATATGATACGTTTCGACCTTGTGATATATGTATATCATTTTGTTTCTAATAACAAAACTTGTTCAACTTTCAAGATGGTATCACGGTGTATTTGGTAACAAAAACAACTTAAACAACCAGAATCACTTTCTAACTAATAGCGCAATTTATAAACCACTCAAGTCGGTATCACTTTAAATTGTAACTAATAACAAAATGTTCAATTCTACCGATCAAGTCGGTATTCACTTTATAACTAGTAACAAAACCTTCTCAGCAAGTCAATTCAGTATCACTTTGTAACTAGTAACAAAACCTTTTCAATCACTCAAGTCGGTATCAATTTGTAACTAGTAACAAAACATGTTCAACCAGCCAAGTCGGTATCACTTTGTAACTAGTAATAAAACCTTTTCAATCACTCAAGACGGTATCAATTTGTAACTAGTAACAAAATGTTTCCAACCACTTAAGTTGGTATCACTTTGTAACTAGTAGCAAAACCTTTTCAGCACACATGAAGTTTAACCTGATTTTTTTAGTGTAAACCCGTTGCTTACGATGATTATATTACTTATGTAATTCTGGGTACATTGGTAAATCACGTGACTACTAGATAAAAGTGCTGCTTTAGCTAGAACATTGGCGGAATCTGGCGTCAGTCATTTTGTACAGTTCAAGTTACGAATCGCAATGGGGATGAACTTAGAATAGATGTACCAGATGTCTTAATATTTTCAATTCTTCTGTAAGGGATCAAACCAGGGACCACTGTTTTATTTGTTTTTCGCTCTACCGAATGAGCTATTTTTATGCACATTTATAATGTGCATTTTAGAGCTAAAATTTCGGTCTAATGGTATGATAGTAAGCTCCATGCTGACGCGATACTTTCTATAGAATGATTCAATTAAACTTTAAATGAAATTAGATATTCCAAGGTTCATGATATACCTGATGTGGGTATACCTTGGCCGCGGTACCCAAGTGGTTAAGGCGTCTGACATTCTGCTACCACTAGCCCCTAACCACTGTGTCGCGGGTTCGAGACCTACGTGGGGCAGTCGCCAGGTACTGGCCGTAGGTGGTTTTTTCGCCGGTTACTCCGGCTTTCTTCCACCACCAAAACATCGCACGTCCTTAAATGACTATTAATAAAGCGTAAAACACAAACAAACAAAAACCTGGAGTGGGTACAGCTTTAAAGAAACAGGATTGAGTACCCAATTTCATATTGCCGCACATAACATGCTGAGACACGAAACGCTGAGCGCCGAGTCGGGTGGACTTAAGAGGTAAATAACTTCTAAATGAATAGGAAGAGTGATCGGCGATACTATTTTCAAAACGATATACATTGTGTCCTCACTTTGGCAAAAGTTCAGCATAAAGGCAAAAAGCGATGCATTACCAAGAAAAGCTTTAGGAAACGAAAGGGCATTTACATAAAAGAGTCAAATAGTGATTAATAACTGCAGCAGGTTTATATTTGGTGGCTTTTGTGTCTCAATGTAGAGGTCTAAAAATGAAAATCCACCATTCTGCAGGGGGTGCCCTCGTTAGTTGTCTCTGATCAATAATGTAAATGTAATGTTCATGGATTTGTGGAATACACCACTTCCCGTAGGCTTACATATTGACGGTAAATGCCAACTGACGGCTGTGCAGCTCTTCAAAACCACTGTTCCGTTGTTTTGAAGTTAACCGTTCTATCATAAAAATATCATTGCACCTATTCCGATTTATTAAGTGAGTTTTTTGAAATCTCTGTCGAGAGTAAAAATACATATTTAACTGTTTTAGTTTTCGGACTATCGATGGGAAAGCAGCGCCTGACATCTAAAACATCATGCAGTTTTTTCACAAATTATTACAACAGTAATATTTCAGGGACAACAAAGTTGTTTCAATGTATTTTGTCTATCTCGTTTTCAATTATGTATTTGAAGCAAGTGTTATATGCCGGACTTCAAAAATACCATAAGCATCAACATATCGAAGTAAATCGAAGTACAACAAAGGATTCTTTGTATTTTTTATAGAAACACTTATGCTTACATACTAGATACATTGATAATAATCAGATTAATACTTAGAGTAGCTTAGAGTAATAGTAGGGACAAATATTAGTTTATTTTCTGTGAAAATATGTGCTTCACTTTTTTTTTTTTTTTTTTTTTACGTTGGCAATGGGCGATGCATTATATTTTATTTAAACATATTTATATTTGCATCTATTATACAATAGGGATTGTGCGATGCATTTAAACAGTACATCCATTATATCAAGGATTTATTGTCACAATTGTGTGTTCTTATGACCCAGGTCGACCGGGATCTAAAACATTGTGAAAAATCCCTTTGTTGTTTTGTTACAGACAGTAACAAAAATACAGAAGGAACTGCCACGCATAACACAAACCCTGAAAACCAATCAAGAAGAATGTGATACTTTTTTTTTTCTTTTTTTTTTATATATAAAAGCAATTTTAATTTCAAAACAGGTAACATGTAATATCATAATATTACTAAAGAAGTACGAGTAATGCTATCACACAACACGTGGTATGCCACTACAAACTACGTGTTATATAGCAAACACTACGAGTAATATCAAATAAACTAAAGATGGTTAAACCAATTAGTACACAGGATCCTGCTGTCCACATCGGGTGTCAGATAAGAGTTTAAGCAGATTGAAGTAAACCACGAACAGTGCCTTTGCAACTGTTCGGTCGATGAACGTATCACTTATTAATCGCACTTGGTCATGGCAGCTATGTGTTCTCGTTGCTGAGGTACCACTGTTTTTGGACTGTGTTTGCAGCTGATTCCTTCGAAATGATGGAAGTATCAGTCCTTGCACTAGATGGATTCACTTTTCTCTATATGTATATTGTATTATGTCAGGTAATGCTTACTATTTAGTTGTTTAGTAACAGCCAAGAAATGGGAGGGGAACATATTGCCTGACTGGCGCAGAAGCTTCTCAGCCGATGTGATGTAAACCTTAGACTTGCTCACTAGTTCATCAACATTAAGCGTGCTCCATGGCTAGGTAAGGTATTATTATTATTTATTTTTTTATCTTTTTTATACAAATTTTAATTCCTCAACATTTTGATATCCTCATTTTCATAGATCTTTGACATATGCATATGCGAATATTCAGTGGTTGTTGAAGGCTTCCAGAGCTGAGGAGCCCTCGGATCAGCCCCCCGAACAAGGTGGTCTTTCACTATTCGTACACCTTACATTCAATAGCTATGTTTATACATGTGTTATATATAAATATATATTTTATATAGTTATATTAAGTTTGTAAGTTGCCCCCGCGCATGCATGTATCAGCCACCCCAAAACTGTATCCGTCTGCGTCATGTCCCTGTAAAGTCTTTTACTTTGCACCCGGACAAGAATGGGGACGTCCATTACCTACATGCACGCGGTATATTACTGGGTTTTTTATTTTATTTTTTAGTACAATTATTTTTAACAATACAAAAAAGTAAAGACTCATTTTGTTTATCTAATGATAGTATTCGATTAACAATTTCTAATCAAGTCCGTATGTATATAATTCACTTTTAATGCCTATGATTGAAAGAACCCCACTAATTCCACTCGTCCACTTTCATACATCCGTAAAGTTTGTAATGACTTACATTGTATAGGTATTTGATCTAGGTATGTGTACAAGTAAGTGACATAAAAAGAGTAACACATATATTCCGGAAAATTTGTCCAGATTATTTTCTAGTTTTCTAGTTGTGTCTAACCATGTGCGTGTACTATTCAGGTGTTGGACAGGATTTATAATATTCCGAATTGGGTAAGTTTTGTTCGCTTATACTTGCACTAGTGAATAATGATTGTAATTGATACACAAAGTTTCTTTAATATTAGTAACAAACAAAGTTATTTATGTTGTTTACATGTACACATTTCAGATGTAAACTGTCTGCACGCGTGACCCCGCGGTCAAGGTGTTTACATGTGTACACCTTACTACAAGCCATATTATACACGCTGGGGTAGTCACCATAATAAACCATATGATTGAAAATGACAACACTTTCTTACTAATAGTTCCATTAGTAAAGTATATTCATGTAGGCTAATCTGTCATAAATCCTTCATAAATGTATGTAACAGTTTGCTACCTACGTGCGTAAATCTGCAAACATGTTCTAGCTCCCGTTTAAAAATGTCAATCGGGCTAATTTGCTTTGTTTTTTGTTTGCTTATATGGTAGGTCTTAAATACCTCGAAACCTATCAAACACAATATTATATTCGTGCAATCGTAATTTTTTTCTTGTATTTTGTATCCTAATATCAACTACCTTAGCTGTATTTTTACAGATACCTATGTTTTGAAAACCTTTATCCATTTTGTTCCAATAATTGTCAAGATATCCACAGTTGATAAAATAATGTTCAAAATCTTCTACCTCTTGACAGACGTTACAGAGCTCTGAGTCAGCTATGGTCATTCTGTTTAACATCTGTCTAGTTGGTATTATATGATGAAATAATTTCCATTTGAATACTTTATACTTATTGTCTAATAATTTACTGAAAACAAATTGTAGCATCTGTTTGATTTCTATTGATCCATCTAAACCGAAATAATTTATCCATCGCACTTTATTAATGTTAAGCACATTTTTTTGTTGAGTAGCCAACCTATATACATCTTTATTTTTTAACTTCCCTAAGATAAGATTAACTCCGTTTTTTTTTTATCATAAACGTTGTAGTTTTCTGTATTAAAATTAACCTAGGTTTTAATCGATTCTTGCGATTGTAGAATTCCTGTCCATTTTTTTGGAAAGGCCATTTTAACTTGTAGCATTTCACTCATCCAGTTTTGTTTGTTTGCTAATTTGTCATAAATGTATTTTTCATTAATTCTACCATTTTTGTCAATTACATCTTTAACATAAATCATATTGCTATCGATCCAATTATTAAAGATTAATGTTTTTTCGTTGATCATAATATTTTTATTTCCCCATATGACCTCTTTTCTTACTTCAAAAAAGGTATCTCTATTATTTCTACCAGTACCACCTTCCTTTAGCCATGACTCCAATATGTTTACATAAAAACTTGTTACATTTTTACTTAGATCTCTAATTTGCTTAATTTTTTCAAAATTCATTTTAAATATTAACATGATTTTCCCATAATTTCCGTACATAATTTTTGGTATAACTTTCCAATTTGCTTCATCCTTGTTTGTTAATCGTTTCACCCATGCCACCCTTATGACATCTATATGTGATATAATATCACGTATTTTTAACCCCCAATTCTCATAATTTTGTATCATGATATTTCTTTTAACTTTTTCACTTCCCTCCCATATGAAACCATATATTAAGCGTTCCAATTCTTTTATTTGTTCTGCACTTATTACTTGGACACTTGCTATATATGTTATTTTTGAGATAACAAGAGTATTTATAACCACGATTTTACCGATCAGTGTTAGTTTTCTTTTTTTCCAATTTTTAAGCATTGCGTCTATTGTTGTCTTTTTACTTTCCCAGTTCAAATTGGCACACACTTTATTGTTAGTTCCGAAATATATTCCTAGAGATTTTATTTTCTCTCGAGTCCATTTTATCCCTTCATAGTTAGTCGGTTTTCTTTTATTCGTGCCTAAGAAGAGTCCTTCCGTTTTATTTTTGTTTAGTTTTAAACCGGAGTGTTTACTGAACTCCTCTATTATTTTAAGTGCTAATTGTACATCAGAATACCTTAAAAATAATGTTGTATCATCCGCTAATTGTGCTATTTTTATGTCTTTTCTGTTAATTCGTATTCCTTTAACATTTATATTTTGTCGTATTTTAATCCCTAATATCTCTACTGCTATTACAAAAATTAAACAAGACAAAGGGCAGCCTTGCCTAATTCCACGTTTTATTACATGACTTTCTGTTAACCAGTTATTGTTTTTAACGATTCCACTTCTATTCGTATAAAAGGTTTTAATCCAACCAATAAACGAATCACCAAAACCATTTTTTTAAAACAGCCAATCATGAAACTCTATCCGATTGTATCAAAAGCTTTGGAGAAATCCAGAAATAAGATACAAGCATCTATATTAAAGTTTTCAGCATAATCAATTATATCTTGTATCTGTCTGATATTATAGCCTCTAAATCTGTTTTTCATGTATCCATTTTGATCTGTATTTACAATTTTTTCCATACCTGGTTTTAATCTTGTGGCTAATACATATGCTGCAATTTTATAGTCAATGTTTAGTAACGATATAGGTCTCCAATTTTCTAGTTTTTGTTCATTACCTTTTTTTGTATATTAATGTAATTAAACCAATTTTTTGCGAGTCGCTCATTTCGCCGTTATAGTAACCTTCATTTAGGGCGTCAAGAACCATATTCCCGATTGACTTCCAAAAGATTCTATAAAATTCCACCGTTAATCCATCATTTCCTGGACTTTTGTTTAGTTTCATTTTATTTATTGCCGTGGAGCATTCCGCAATTGTCAATATGCATTCACATGAGACTTTATCATCTTCTGTTAATGAGTTTGGAATGGCTGTTGTTTCTAAATACTCATTCAAATGAGATATATCAGGATTTGAGGTGTTATATAATGTCTTATAAAAATCATGTATTTGTTTCGATATTTCATTTGCGTTTGTTATAATTCTCCCATTTTCACCTTCTAATGTTCTAATTGCTTTTTTCTGCTGTCTACTTTTTTCTAAACCTAGAAAATAGCTTGTGTTTTTTTTCTCCCTTTTCTACCCCGGCTATCCGTGACCTTATTTGAGCACCTTTTGCTGACCTCACATATCTTTCCTCCAATTCCCGTTCTAATTCTTGTTGTTCGATTAGTTTTGGTTCAGTCATTGTGACATTCGATTGATTATGAAAAGCCAGTTTCTCTTCCATAATCTTAATATCATTTTTATTTTTGCGGGCATGATTTTTGCAAAATTGTATTGTCTCTTGTTTAATTAGTACCTTGCAAAAGTCCCAAGATTTTCTTTTATTTAATTGCATGATTTCGCATTCCCGTTTTGATTGTATTATCACTTTTTCAATTAAATTTTTATATTCGTCATTATTTAATATACTACCGTTAATCTTCCAAACCCCCTTTCCTCTATTATCTCTAATTACCTTCAATTTGAGTGATATACCTTTATGGTCGGTGTATTTAATTTGGGCCGGCCTTATATCTACGCTCTGAACTGTATTAATTATATCTTTTTCTATCAGAAAATAATCGTCCTACTTGCTTCCCCATATCTGTTACGTCTCCATGTATATTGGAATTTTTTTTATTACGTAATTTCCAAATATCAACTAAATTTAGATTTTTTTTTGTATTTGTTACTCCATATGTCCTTTTAAGGATCCTGTTTTGTACACTTGTTTTTCTATCAATCTTTTCGTGTACCTCGTTAAAATCGCCACCGACTATAATAGATCCAGCTTTATGGTTTGTTATTTGTTTCTGTATATTTTTAAAGAACACATTTCTATTTTGTTCACAATTTGGTGCATATACATTAACAATTGAATACACATCATTTTCAATTTCAATGTTGAGTATAATAAATCTACCATTCTCATCAATTACCTTCTTTTGTACATCGATATTCAATTTATTGTTCCATATAACCGATACACCCCTGCTTTTATTGTCACCAAAACTTGATATAGCTTTAGCAAAATTGTGTATTTCATTGTTAATTACATCAACCAGATCTTCTGTAAAGTGTGTCTCCTGTAGAACTGCTATATCAAATTTCTGATTTTTAAGCCATTCATATACTCTGAGTCGTTTCGATTTGTTTCGAAGACCCCGAGTATTCACTGACAATACATGTATAGTATTAGGGATACCAATCATAATTGTATACATTTTTCATTATACCATCACAACACATATGGTTACATGCAATAATAATGATAAAAGCACTCAGCTCCTTTGTAAAAAAAATGGAGTATTTGTATCATTATACAACAATAACAAGTATACCACCGTCCACCCAGACGACTTTTTAGATTTTTTTGTACTGACCATTGAGTTCCTCGCTTGGAGTAGGAGGAGATTGTACGTTCTTGGGGGATGGCCGCGGATTGTTGGGAGTACCCGGTGTACTCGAACTAACTATATATGCTTCACTTAAGTTTACATTTGAAAACAGCCAATAAGAGGAAAACTGCAAAGTGTTATAAAAACAAATTGACCATATCAGGATACACAGTAATAAGCATGTTAAATACTGTGCTTGTTGTCTTAAAGTACACGTATATAAAAACTTACTATTAGGGCACGCCATCTCTGACGACTTATTTGTCCCTTCATCAGGTATCCCAAGCGTATTCTGAGTAGCATTGTAGGTCTTCGGTTTTTCAGTGATTTCTATAACAACGTCGACATTGGCAGAGTCATCTGAGTCGCTAGAGTTAGTTCTCTTCTCAGTGTCCTCCCCTCGATTCGCACATGCACCATGCTGACAGGCAAATATGATTCCAATGAAGGTAAAACATAGAAACCATCGGTTAAGCATGTCTGTGATAATCAATCGAACGTGTTGACAATGTCAGTATATATTTCTGTGTAATACAGTTTACAGTGAATCAGATCTTCTCCGCGGAAAACAGCACGTGAGGCCAGAAAAGCGTTACCTTTGTTTAACCATGAACACAAATGAAATCCGTATTTATGCGCTGCAGTCATTTGCATTCTTGATTAATTATTAATTTTACATTGATCAACTTACTCGTTACTGTTTCCTGGTTACGTTGTAGTCCTCTTGTGGTTCGCCCAATTGACCTCTCTGAAGAATAAACCAATAGCATTTAAGCCAATCAGCGCGCATGTAGAATATTTAAGTTCCCACAATTATTTGCAAAACTTGTGAAATATGTTATGAGAATCATATATATATAAGGCCAGGAAAATGGCGACATAACGTTTCTAATTGGGATGTCGTATGATCGGATGTGCCATACGGACATATTTCTTTGATCAATATAAAGTTTCGCTGGTCATATGACAAAATGAATGCATTCTATTTGCTAAATAGACAAAAAAATAGTATGACCCATTCGGCAACAGCATAACAAAACTACTACTGGGTCAGGTGGTAAACAAATTCAACAAAATAATATCGTACGGAAATGTTAATAAAACTTTCATAGTCACTATAATTACAAAGTTAAGGAAACATCTAGTTATTAACATAGTTTGTGTTTGGTGATGGCCCTTGATGACTACAGTCGATATATTTTTTTAGTTTTGGCATCACATGTGTTTGTGTTCGCTATGTTAAAAATTGCATGCTGTGATTGAAGCTTAGTTTTTACAGGTATGTCGCCTATACCATTGAGTTAACCAGGAACAAAACACAAGCACAAAAATTGAGAGTTATTGTCAATTTATTAAATGACTAGATTGATAACCAGTACAACACTGGATATCTCATGTATAACACAACAAGTGTGTTCAATTCTATTACACAATCATGAAAACATCTCAATTTGCATCACCTGTGTGTATGTAACGTTCATCTTTCAAGCTACAATATGGTAGACTCTGCTGGTAGATTCGTTAGCCCCGAGGGTTTCGTAGCCTTGATGGCCACAGTTCATAACCTTATTTGAGTAGTGCCAGGTGTCATAATATAAACATCTTTTAAAAATTATTAATTTTGAACTAACCAGTACTCATATAGCTATTTCATCCTTAAATTACTTTCCGGCGATGCCAAAAAGCTCAAAATTTAAGTACTATAGAATCTCCTGTAAGCGTTGGAAATTCCTAATTGAGAGTTTTTATATACATCCCCTTCTGTTTTAATAGTAGTTAAGGCCTACTTTACAATCATAAATTCGTGGAACATTAATTTTCGTTTATTTCGTGGATAACAAAAATCCACGAAATTAAATCCCCACAAAAACATAAATTTTGTATGATATAGATAGGGGGAAAATCAGAAATCAGCTAAATATAATGTCCTTGAAACAGGCTTGTATATGAAACCACGAAATTTTAACCCCACGAAATTTGGAGCTTTTTGGCATCGCCAGAGAGTAATTGAAAGAAGGAAATAGCTATATGATACTGTGAAATTCATTTTTGGCATACTGTATTTATAACTTAATTTTAAAAGGTGTACCTGTGTGTGTGTTACATTCTTCTTTAAGGTAAACCGAGCTAGAATAAGTTCCGGACACAAGTGTTTGGCCAACATTAAGGAATCATAGTCCACCAACAGAGTCAAACACCTCGTCATGTTTAGTAATAACTTGAATTACGCAGTATGGAAATACTTGTAAAAAGTAATGGGTTCTCTCTAATAATAATAATAATAATAATTGGAGTTTCTTATATACCGCTTTATCACAACTTAGTTCGTAGGTCGTCTCAAAGCGGCTCACAAATTATTATTCGTGTTAATAGGGCCTTTGCAACCAGTCAACATCTTTCTCAACTCCCTGGGAAGCATACAGCCGGTGCTGCCATTTCGGCGCTCACAGCTAGCATTCAACAATTCTAGCACTACCCAACCACGTACTCATTTACAGCTGAGTAGACTGGAACAATTGGAGTAAAGTATCTTGCTCAAAGATACAACACAGTGCCGTGGCTCGAACCCGCAACCCTTCGGTCACGAGCCCGGCGTTTTACCACTAGATTACCTTGCCTCCCCTCCGGGCCGGTCTTCAACAGAGTCCATAGGGTAATCGCAATAAAGAGTTAACCCATTGTCAGTGGGTGTCTTCGACATGGTTTGTTATTAAGGTTGCACAATCGGCAACAGATCTTAACTATCACAAAGAGACAAATATAAACATACTGTCTTCAGCACAATCGCATACATAGCACAGGTGGGGGACAAGTCCCTAAATAACCTTAGCTCTTATGACAATTATCTCTCTTAACCAAACCATCTACTTGATAGATTCAAGAAGGCTATCATGTAACAATGTAAGCTGAATATATGAGGTAGGAAATGTTGAATGTGAAGTGTTAAATTCAAACATTGATTTTAAATATAACATTGCATAACATAAAAATTAACCGCAACGACTAGCATATATTTTATCCCCAAGAAGCACTACGGGGGAGTAAGGTTGCGGAGATGTTTTGACGACTTTATTTCAAAAGATTGGAACACAGGAATACTATTGCCAATCAAATTTAAATCAGAGTGGACTAAAAAGAAGAGCGGGTTCTTAAAATTAGTTTGTTACTTTTTTTTTCTACAGGAGTGTTTAAACATAACGTGATATTGATTTTAATGACATTGTCTTTTAGCTGTTTAATGTTGGCAACGGAATATATTAATAAACAAAATCAGCGAAGTGTATCTTTAATGAAACATATTATAATTAATAACGTTTGAGCATAAGCGGCATCTTTTTCAAAACCTGGCATTGGATACATTAATAAGTTGCTTTAAAGTTTTAAGTGATATTGAAACAATCAGTAACCATTGTTAGGAACCATATCATTTCCATCAGACTACTTCCAATAATAATAATAAATAATAATAATATACAGCATTTATATAGCGCCCTATATATTTTGTAAAATTACTCTAAGGCGCTTTACAACATATGGATAATAGTAATGGTTATAATTGTGAAAACAAACAACAAAGGCTTCCAATAAAACAACTTTGACCAACGTTGCTGACATTTTTACACACAAATATCGGAATGATAATGTGTCTGTCTGTCTCAGTTTATAGAGTGTGTTGCATTGGCGGCTTTGTTATATCAGCATATAAACATTTCATTTTTTAATGTTAATGTTGAGCTTCCTATTACAAGTAGACGGTCAATGATGCAGTATATTGTTCTTTTAATGTCAAATGTTATATTTATCTGTTTTCACTAGTGGAGTCATATCCTAAAGCAATGTATTGATTATAAAACACGTGCTTTTTAACGTTATCCTACAGGGATGGATAAAGTTACATTATGATCTGACGACCACATTTGTGCAACAGTAATCGCTTTAAAAAGTCAAACCGGCTTGGTGTATCAAATTGAATAGAAACAAATTAAACTTGATCCATACCATGTTTGCCCAAAAGGCAAGTACAAATGTATCATACAACCCGACAGTCAAAACCAAATTTGATATTTTTTTAATATTCGAGGATGGTACCTTTTCAAATGATATTTTAAATTCGATAACGAGGTTTTGGGAAACACATACATATATGATTGTATAGATGTCTCTTGCTGACTGTAATAGTACGTCGAATGCAATAAAAAAAATATGATAATGCGATTTGAGGAAATATATCCCGGCATGTGTCAGTTGCATTTGGTAGCTCACATGGTACAAAGGTCATGTAAGTTTAAGCCGTCGTACAGCGTCCGTCGTCCGTCGTTAACTTTTCCTTTAAACGACTTTGTCTGAAGAACCAAAAGACTTACAGTCTTAGATTCATGATATTTGACTGGTAACTTTCTAGGATTTAAAACGACTTCTTCTGAAGAACAAAAAATACCTAGAATCGTGATATTAGTCTGGTAGCTTCCTTCGATAGAGCCCTACAATGTTTAAGAACAAAAATTGACCACTTCAAACGACTTCTTCTGAAGAATGCATATACCTAGAATCCTGACATTCAGATGGTAGCTTCCTTTGATGTAGTCTTAAAATAATTTTAACAAAAATAGCCTTGACCTATTTCAAGCTAAGGTTGAGCCAAACAAAGTTTGGAAAATAAAATGACCTTGACCTTCTCTTTAGTTCATAAAATAGAAATATTTTATATCCCCTTCACCACATACAATTGTTAGGCTTGAAGAGACTAAATTCTTTCATACCACCTGGATTTGGTCAGGGATCCAGCTCCACCCTTGTTTGTCATATCATCGACCAGTTTAGAACACCACCATATAACCAAAAATAAAATGAGTGGCCATGAAGAGATGATTACTTTCATGTGACTAGGAATAACATTTAGGTCCCATCTCACAATTTGGTATTGAAAGAAATTGAGATCCCTACCCAATAACCATATATTCAATAGATTGGCATGGAAAAACAAATACATTCATGTCATTACTGCCACTAGGGATAAAAACCTTGCTTCAGCTTATATTTTTGCACTTTTTTTTTTATTAAAGAGTACAGTAGTCAATAGGTTTTTTATTTAACATAGAAAATCCATGTGGGCTTTGAAGGCCGCTCGGCCTCTTGTCTTACTTTCTCAAGCCGGACAGTTGACTTATATCATGTGTGTCACGTTTTAATGAAAATAATCTGCTTGTGGATGTGATATATGTCGAGTGGAATATCATCTAATCAGAATAAAGAAACTTTTATGTGAAAAAGATGCAAAAGATTTATCAAGATCCTGTTAAGTTCTTCAAAATTTGTATCTGTTATTTTACTTTTTGAGTATATGGTGCCACACTACATACGGTTCAAGATGAACATCATACAATGTGCTAGTACCATATGTAATTTATCATTTTCGCGAGTATATTCTGTATGGAATGTAAACATCTATTACTAGTGTACTCTTTCGTGGAATGCAAAACCGACAGTCCTGCAAACACTAGTATTTATATTGATATGAAACTTACGTCAGTTACAAATGACCAATACAAAAAAATTAAATTCAAAATTTTTAATGAAATGAACATT